GCACTGGAAGCAGGCCCAAGATGCACCTTCCTAAGGTTGGCCTGCCTCATACTCCAGCTCTGGCCTTGCTCTCCCTGCCGGGGCTCTGGTTCCAGCTTCTCTGCTTCTGTCAGCTCTTTTACACACTTTCAGAGTGACCTCCCCTAAAGTAACTCTTGCTTCTCGCCTGCATTGAGGCCTTTCCTTCCAAGGCCTTTCAGAATTTACGTCTTCACCCTTGCCCCTTCCTGCCAGATGCCTTGTCTGCCTTGCCTTTGCTTCCCTCTTTCTAGAACCCTCTTTGCCATCCAGGGTATAGCCCCAGCTCCACCTCACCTGAAGAGGAAATCTCTCTTCATTGTTGTGGCCACCTGCTGGGTGTCCTCCCTCATTGCTGGGGAATGGGCACAGGTGCGGGGCATCTATGGGTAACACATGCTCAGCCAGGTGGGGTCAGTGTGGCCAGCAGCCTGCCCCCTCCCGCTGCTGTCTCTGTGCTGGTGAAGCCTCTTCCTGAGGAAGTGTAGAGCCCTAGGATCCCAGCACCTGTGTGCTGGGAGGCACCAGGAGGTTTGCACCCAGGTCTCTGGTGCTCACCATGGCCTGTGGCAGAATGTGTGCTGGGAGTTGGGGACAAAGACACAAGGCCACTCCTTATGTGTAGGGGACAAGTGTGGTGCTTGTCATGGTCCTGGACATCGATAGTCAGTAGAGGAAACTGTCCCTGCTCAGGCCCTGCTGTGCGCCAGGCCCTCTCCTTTCCAAGTTGGTATGGGGGAATCTGGACTTGGAGCAGAGGGAGCAACCCTAGGCTGAGTCACACAGCTGCTCATGTTGGAGCCAGGCACTCCAGCTCTTGCCCAGTCCCCAACCTGGTCTCCAGGCAGGAGGTGAGGGTTGAGAGGCTTGTCTGACAATTTAAACATCAGTTTCCCAAGAAGAGTCAGGCTGGTTAGCACTCAGTCTGGCTGGGTAGGAGCTGACTCCCTCTGTTACAGGGCCAGCCCTTCTGCCAGGTCAGCAGGAGAGAGATTCTGAGAGGAAGGGGTTTTGCCTGAGATCACCCAACAGGGTGCGTCTGGCCCCATTACCCACTTAGAGTTGATGGGGGAGCAGGGATGTGGTCTCTGGACAGAGAGAACACCCACTGTGTGTTGAGCTCGTGTCTGTCTGGGCCTAGGCTTGGTGCTCCTGAGTGGAACTGGGGTGGCAGAGAGGACAGGAGCCAATGCTGCATCCTTACTCTGTGCCCATCCCTGGGATTAGGGCCTGTGAGGCTGTCACATCCTCAGCCTTATACTCCTGGGGGTCATCATTCCCTCCAATTACAGGCAGGAAACCCAGGTCGAGAGAGAGGAGGCACTTGCCAGGCCCCCATGTCACTGGGATCCAAACCAAGGTCTGCTGGCCTTGAAGGCCAGAGTTCTTTCCTAGGCCACCCTGGGAAAGATGAAAGCTCTATAAATAAACTGCCCATGTTGCTGTGAGCAACTGCCCTGGCTAGTTGTCACAGACAGAGGGAGACAGCAGGGATCTCTATGGCCAGTTAGAGGTGGGGTCTGAGTGTGCAGGTGGAAAGAGGAGTCGGGGGTTCCCAAGGAAGGACCTGCACTTAGCCCAGTGCATCCCCTGTGAGGAGGAGCAGTGAAATCGGAGAACCCTGGCCACTCACACCACCAGCCTTCTGCTTGCCCGGCCTCCTCCAAGCACCCACTCCCTCCCTCCCTCCCTCAAAGAGCCTCATCCCTTCTAGAGGGGTCCAGGGAGACTGAAAACTGATGGCCAGGGGAAGGGGAGCCTGGAGAGGACCCTCTAGAGAGGGAGCCTGGGGAGGCTTCCTGCAGGAGGGGGTGCCTGGCCCAAGGCCTGATTATAAGAAGAGTCCCTGTTGCCTGTGAACTCTTGAGTCCTCCATCTACCACACCATGAAGTCAGCTGCACAGGTGTAACTGCGAGACAAGCTTGAGAAGGTGGGGCTGGGTTCCTGACTGCTGTACTACCCTTTACCTTCCCGACCATGGCCTTGGCTGGTGTGGAAGCAGGCTGGGGCATGGGCACCCAGGGCACTCCCAGAGAGGCTGAGGCCCCTGCACTCGTGCTGCCAGGACTTACATGGAGTTCCCCAAAGCACTCTTGCCACACCCAAACCTCTGAGTGAGCTTGGCTGGCTGCTGCTTGGTCTTGAGCTCAGGTTCCTCTGGCCCTCGTGGGGCTGTGTTGAGAGCCCTCAGTATCCCATGAGGCAGGGACTAGCACCCCTGTTTGCAGAGGAAGACCCCGAAGCTCAGGGAGGGTAAGTAACCTGCCCAAGGCCGCACGCAGATCCACAAACTGACAGAGCCAGAGTCTGAACCCAGGTGAGCTTCTCCAACCTTGTCTCCTCCCTGCTCATGCACTGACCCCAGTCCTCTGCATACTCTACTGGGTAGGGCCTCCCCTGGGATGGCCCTGGGGGGCCTCTTTCCCCAGCACCCCAGTTCTGGGGAATGTTGGAGAATGGGGCAGACCAGGGCTGTCCCTCCCAGATCTTCTGCCAGGTCATGGTGACTTGGGGGCAGGTCCTGTGCTGAGCACATTAGGGACTCAGGATCAGGTTTATGGGTGGGGCAGGAGGCAAAGGTGGCTTCTTGGAGGAAGTAGCAGAGCATGAGCCAGGGCTGCAGTGAGGTGTCCTTCAGCCCTCCTAGACCCGTTGCTGTCCTGTCTTAGGGCCAGGGTTGGCAACGCAGGGCTGTTTATGGTGCTGAGAGGTTGATGATGGTGAACTAGAAGCAGCGGAGATGCCAGGCCTGGGTCACACAGGCAAGGGCCGCCTGCCAGTTGCCCCTATTCCAGGGTATGTAAAACTCATCTTCTTCAAGATGAAGTAGTTGCACTTTGCCTCTCTGAGCCTCAGTTTCTTCTGTGTGAAGCATGGAACCGTCTTGGAGGGGTTCAGTGAGACCCAGCTTGGAATGGGAAGGGGACAGGGCAGTGGTGTGCTCAGTGAGGAAGGTTAGAGAGCCCCCTCTCTGCCCAAGACAACTGTCTGATCGCAGACATCCCTCTTCTAGCCCTATACTCGGCCCAGGAAGTGGGGTGAGGATTGTGCCTGTACCATATCCAGACTGGGAGGAGCTGGATGGGCCAGATCTGGCCACCTCAGCCCTTTTCTTGGCCTCAAGGGGCCAATTTAGCCCCCTCAGCCTCAGCCCCACCTCATCCACCTGAGACACTGAAGTGCAGGGGCAGCCAAGGAGGTCTGAGGTGCAGAACCATGCCCAGCTTCTGGGGGTGTGGCTGAGGGTGGGCTGGGGAGCAGCTGCTGCCTGGCCATGAGGTGATACAGGATTAGGGGTCTAGGATTTGAGGGGTGCATACCCCAGCATAGTCACCTGGAAGCTCATGGCTGCCCAGGGCTGTGGGGAGGGCGGGAGTGGGGCATTCTCACTGAGTGGCCCTGGGCCAGCCTCTGTGCATCTCTGGGCTCCCAGCAGCAGCCCTAGTGAGCTGGGGCCCTACCCTGGGACCTCTTCCTCCCTGCTGTGGGAATTCCCAGACTTCCCCGGTCTTCTTGCCTCTTCTGTTCCCAGCTCCCTTTCCTGCCAGAGCTGGCACAGACTAGAATATGCAAATGAGCATAGATGTAGGCAATTCCTAGAGGCCCCATGGGCTGGCAGTGCAGACAGCACCTTCTACTGGGGCCCACCTGGGTCCTTAGTAACAGACCCTCCGTTGAGCTGCCTACTGGGTGCTACTAGCTTCCTAGACTCCATCATCAGTTTGGCAAACACTACAAGGATGTTTATGTGCCAGGTCCTGGGCTAAGTTACAGGGTGAAAGGAGGCAGAAAGAGACAGTCCTGGGCTCCATTCCTCCTCCTCCTCTTACTGGCTGTGTGACCCCTGCAAGTGACCTCCCCTGACCTCAGTTTGCCCAGCTGGGCAATAGAAATGCTCACCCCTCCTGAGAGGAAAGGCAGCAACCCAGGACGAGAGCCCGGCCTGCACAGGGATGGGGTCGGTTCCTTTCCCCGTGAGTGTGGAGGAGGGAAAGCCACCCAGTGTGGGCACTGCTCTACTTCAGCCCCAGTTGCCAGGGAACTGCTGGGCTCTTTGCTAACCTGGATTTCTCTGTTGATGGGTGGCCTTTGTCTTCCTGCTTTGGGTGTGGCCACCACCAAGGGAGGCCTGTGTCCAGCTGTGTTTCCAGGCAACCCCTAGCCTCTGGAGGCCAGAGGGAGGTCCACAGGCTCAGGAGCCACTGTCTGGGAAGCAGAGTAGCTGCCTCCCAACCTGCTGTGCTCCAGGTGGATGCCGGCCCCCACCTCCACCTCCCCAAGTGTGGCCTCCCTTGGCAGACAGCTCGTTCTTCTCCCTCCCCCAGCTTAACCCTTCCAGGCTCCCATAGGCCCCAGGGGAAGTGCAGGCTTTTTGGCAGGCAGCTGAGCCTTGGTGTGACCTGAGCACTGCCCACCAACCTTCCCAGACTCCTCCCATCTCCTGCACCCTCCCACCCTCCAGATTCCCACCAGGGGGAACCCAGCACCACCTGTGTACCAGGCTGTGTGCCCTTCCCCTCCACAGTCCACACATAGGGAAACTGAGGCACAGTGAAGTGTGGGGAATTGCTTAGTCTGTGCCAGGCCTGTGCAGAGTGTGTAATGTGATTCTCTCAGCCTCACTACAGCCCTCTGTAGGCAGGCCACGGAGCCAGTGCACCACAGAGCAGAGCAGGACTATACCCCACACTTTGTATCCCCAAGTTAGCCTAGGGGTTCAGCTCTGGGTTCTAGCCCATCCCTGCCTCTCGGCTCCTTTCCCCTCAGCCCGCTCTCTGGCCCTCCTTGCTTGGCATAGCTGGGCCCCCTACCGAAAGTGCCTTTTCTGCCTCTTCCCCCAGATCAGCCCATACCAGTCCAACTCAGCACTGGGCATGGAGGGGGCAGCTTGTGGTGGGGAAGGGGCTGGGTAACGGGATCTGTATGGCACTATGAATGCTGAGGAGGAGGTGGGGGTGGGGCAGCTTCCAGGAGGAAGTGACTGAGCTGAGCTCTAAGGAAGAGTGAGTACTGGCCAAGAGATGAGGGAAGAGCCGACAGCAGGTGCAGTGTGCTGTGCTGTGCTATGAGGGTGGAAAGCAGCTCAGTGTGGCAGGGGTGTGGGTGAGAGAGGTTGGCGGGGGTGTGTCAGGACCCCATCCTGAGTGTGGTGGGAGCTGGCCCAGGGCCAGGGCCAGGGCCAGAACTGGGTGTCAGGATAACTAGCCTTCAGGGTGGGGCAGAGTTGGAGGCCAGGGATGGGGCAAAGGGGCAGGAGCAATGGGTGCAGGCCCTGGGAGAGCTTAGGGACAGTAGGGAAGGGGAGGGCCCTGCCTAGGGGAGGAGGAATGGTGTGGCAGGGCCCTGGTGACTCCAGTGAGCTTCAGTTCTGGGAAAGGGGAAGCTGCCTGTGGCCTGGGCAGGTGGCACAGCTTCCTCTTTCTCTGAGGCTTCCAGGGCTGCACCTCCCTGGGCCTCCACCACCTCTGGCTGCCACCATGGTCTGGGGCCCTCAACTTGAGGCCCTGGTCATGGCCTTGACTAGTTGGCTTTTCTCCAGGGAATTTCTGGTTCTAATTGTTTGGGCATTTTTTTGGAGGGCTGAGACTGAGGAAGCCCTCCCCACCTCATGAGCCTGTTTGGAGGCCTCCCACTTCAGACATGGGGCTGGGTGTGGAGTTTTGTGGCAAATAAAACAGACGTTGCTGCCCTCACCCCTGTCTGGTGGGGGAGCAAGGAATAAACAAGTAGGCAAACAAATACTTAATCATAGCCTTCCGCCAGCAGGGCAGAGGAGAAGGGCTGTGGAGGAGGAAATCCCATGACCTACTTTAGTTTCATTAACTCCTTTAAACCCCGTGACTGGCTGGGCACAGCTGCTCATACCTGGAATCCCAGCACTTTGAGAGGCCAAGGCGAGAGGATCACTTGAGCCCAAAAATTGGAGACCTGCCTGGGCAGCCAACCCTGTCCCTGCAAACAGTAAATAAAACTTTAGCCAGGTGTGGTGGGGCAGGCCTGCAGTCCCAGTTACTCAAGAGGCTGACGTGGGAGGATTGATTAAAAGTTGAGTTGCAGTGAGCTGTGATCATGCTACTGCACCCCATCACAGATGGCAGAGCAAGATACTGTCTCAGAAAAACAGAACAAATCCCCCAGAAAACTGCATGACAGCCTTGCCATGGGAGATGGACCGTGAACATCCCCATCTTGTAAATGAGGAAACTGAGACCCAGTGACCTGAAGGTCCCACAGGTAGTTGGTGGCAGTGGAGACTGGGCCCCAGGCTAGGAGACTTGCTGGACGAGTGGCCTCTAAGCTGAGTTCCTTCTCTGCTCTGCACCTCCCCCCAACCACATGGGGCCTCTCCTCCCCATCCAGTGTGGCTCGGTATGGGTGTGGCTCTCCTCTGTCAGGTGTCCCAGGCTCTGGGGCCTCACTGACTGCCCAGCCTTCAGAATGCAGAGGCAGATGTGGGGGTCTTCACAAATCCCCTCGCAGCTGAGGGGCTTCCACCTGAACTTGTTTTTTGGTTACAGATGCAGGCCTGTTTTAGACCATCGAGGCCTCTTGGGGCAGGGGGTGGGGATGCTGAGCAGCAGGTGTGGACATGTGTGCACATCAGGCCTTTCTGCCTGACTGGGCAAGTCCAGCGGGGGCTCAGTCTGGGCTAAGTGGGAGCCGGGCAGCCAGACTGGAGTAAGTGCTGGTTTGGGGTAATGAGAAGGTGCTTAATTAGAAGGCGCAAGGCCCTAGGTGGCAGTGTCTGTGCGTGTGCTGGAGTGGCCCTCGCTGACTTTGAGTCTGGGCCATTGGACCCTGCTTTCCTCCTGGAAGGTTCTAGATCACACAGCATCTGTCTGCAGATGAGCAGCTGCTCCCTGTGGGCTCAGGTCGACTAGCAGGTGCCACCCAGGGTCGGGGGTGGTTCTAAGGCTCTCTGCTGTGGTCGATTTGCCTCTTTTCACCCCTGCTTCAGCCCTCTGGGCCCATCTTGGAGACATGGAGGGGTGCTGGAGCTGGAGACTGGGCTGTCAGGTTGGTCACAGTTACCCCGGGCTCTGTACTACACAGTCAGGCCTATCGGGGAAGTGAAGCCTGAGGACTTGGGGCGTGTGATCAGGTCTGTGGGTTAGATCCCTCAGAGGACAGGGGAGGGGCCATGGGAATAGACTTGAGGTGGGAGCTGGGCCCCTGCAAGGGGACAGAAACTGGAAGGAAGACTTGCAACCAAATCCGAGGCATTACAAGGGACCCTCCCCAAAAGGCCTGGGAGTGCCATCTGTTGGGGGTTGACTGCCAGGTGTGGCCTCCACCCTACACTGTGGCCCTGCCTTCTCCTGTCCCTGGCTTCCCCTGAGCTAGCCTGGGACCCAGAGTGGCTGCCAGTGATCTGGAGAGTCCTGAGATGATGTGACCATGCCCCCTCCCAAGTGTAACTCAAAACCTGGGCCCTTCTGAGGTCTGCTGAGAGGGAGGGCGGGCAGACAGATTGGTTTCCTGTGCTGCTATTCTAGGTGGGAAGGCTGGGCAGGCTTCAGGGAGAAGGCTCTGAGTGACCTGGAACCTACCACAGGCAGCACTTTCTCACCTCCCCCGGCTTGGAGTCAGCTGGGGGCCTCGGCCTTTGGGGGCCCTGAGCCAGTGGCTGGGTTTCCAAACTTCCCTGGGCTTAAGAGGCTGCGTGTGCCCTGAGGAGCACAGCTTCTCTCAGCCTCGTGCGCCTGAAGCCAGGCCTCCAGGAGGTCCACAGCAGACTTCCTTGCTCTGCCACTGTCCTTCCTGCTGTCTGATGTGAGTCCTTCGTCTTGCAGTGTCTGCCTCATCCACTGGCTAAAGGTTTCTCCAGAGTAGGCTGCTGTCTGGGCCTGGGGGCCTCAGCCTCAGCCTCAGACCGGTGGGCTGCGGAGCCACAAGGGATATTTCTCTGAAGTGTCACACACTGCGCTCCCACTCTGCTTTATTTTGTTTCTTGGCACTTACCACCAGCCGGTGGGGGCACCTCTCTGTGGTTGCAGTTAGTCTCCCATGGGGTGGAGCTCCCTAAAAACAGGGACACTGTCTGTCTTGTTTATACCGATTTCCCCAGTGCCCACACGCAGTAGGTGTTGGAGAAATGACAAAGACCGAACGTTGGCTGCCGTGACCACCGCAGCCCCATAGGTCTGCCTGGGGCAGAACTGTGACCAGACATGTCCCAGCCTCAAGGGAGGAGTCAGCCTTCTTGGAAGAGGTGTGGACCGTGGCCATGTGGAAGGACCAGGACCTAGATGGGACAGGGAGCTGTGGGAGCTGGACCCACTTTGGGGAAAGTTTCTAGAGAAGCTTCTGACAAGAGAGGCCTTTGTGTTGGGCTTCGAAGGGTTGAGGGAAAAGGCCTTCCTTGGAGCAGAACCCATGGGAGCGAAGGCAGAGGCCAGGCATGTTTGCAGACCTGTGAGGATGCGGCAGCGAGGGAGCCTGAGCCTGGAGCACTGGGCTGGAGTGTGGAGTCTGGGCTCCAAGGCGATTGTGGGGAGGGCTCCTGGCTGGGGTGTTCGGTGTTGGTTGCAACCCTGTCATCATCACCACAGGCCGCCACATGTGCTTCCTTCCCCTGCTGGTGCCTCGGGTCACCTGGCAGTTTAAGGAAGGGAAGGAAGCCCATCCTCCTCTGAGAAGCCTCCCAGCCTGTAGAGCCTTCCTTCTGCCTTCCCACCTGACCCACAAGGGTGAGGCTGGCACCCAGGCAGGGCAGCCCCTTCTGCCTGGGCATATGCCTAGGGGTATGGAGCCGGCCTCCCCTGGCTCTGCCTGCCCAGCAGTACCTTGCCCACTCCCCATGAGTCCTGTCATCCTGGAAGTGGTGCTAAGGGGACAGCAGCTGCCTGCCTGTCCCTGCCACTCCGCCAAGCCTCCTCTCCATCTGCTCTAGGCCAGCCACTGCCGGGGGCCTGAGGATGAAACCGCACCTGCTGTGCCTGTCCCTGTCCTGCTTCCTTATGGTGAGTTGGAGATGGGCTCTGGGAAGGAGAAAAGCCATACCCTCAGCGCTGCAGCTCTCCAGCAAGAGGGTGTAGACACTCCCGGGAACCCCCTGCCGGGACAGGGCTCATTTACTCAGCTGTTGAAGAATCTGAGGCAGTCGGACCCTGGGAAGCACCTCCAGGCCCACCCAGGTTTGTCAGGGAGATGGAGAAGGAAGGACTTGCAGTCATTTATCAGTGAGGCAGGCATGGCTGAGGGCAAGTTGCCTGTTGGCGCGCAGGGTGAGAACAGAGCCCAGCCTGGAGGGTAGGCTGGGTGCCAAGAGGAAATTGAGCAAAGGAGCCCTGGGATTCGGAATCTGAGGGCCATAGCACCTCAGGTGCTGGGGTTTAAGATCTTTATTGGTCAGAGGGTCCCAGATTCCAAGTCCCAGGATCATAGGCTCAGGCCAGCTGCCCAGAGCTGCAGGTGAGTCTGCGTTACAGACTTGCAGCATCTTGGGATCTGCTCCGGGGCCTGTCTTTCTGCTGTGATGCTGGAAGCTCAGGGAGGGTGAGACTTGGCCTTGGGTCTTGCCAAGGGTTGTTTCGTATACAGGAGGCCTTCCAGCCTTAGCAGGTGCTCTGGGAGCTGGTCTGGGGTCTGAGGAGGTCCCTATTCCATCTCCAGGGCAGCTGATGGTGGCCCCATCCAGTCTAGGATGAATTGGAGGACTGAGGTCTCCTCCAAGAGTGATTCAGGAGAGACAGTTCATTCCTAAGAATGGGAAGCAGAGGGAGCGCCTAGTGAAATGGGCTAGGGACACACACTGAGAAGATGGAGCTTTCCTTTGGGATGTGTCTCCTCTTTGGGTGTGTGGGTGTGAATGGGGTGGCCTTGCCTCAAGGGGAAGTCATGGAGGATGTGGTCCTGGAGACTTCGCTGAGGGGAGGGCCTGCAATAGGAAGCACCACCTGCAGACTTGGCTCCAGGGATGATAAATGAGGCTGGTTAATGACGTGCCCAGCTGTGATGAGGGCAGGGATGGACCCAAGGCCTCAGGAAGTGGAACAGAATAGGAGAGAGGATTCGGAAGCATTTCCTCTTCATTGTTCTGATTAGCTGGAAGGGCTTGAGATCCCCATCTGGTGGTGTTTGGGACTTTCCAGCAGTTTGCGGAGGTGGATGTGGCTCTGTCCTTGCCCAGGTACTGGCCATACAGCAGGTCTGGGACAGGACAGAGTTTTCCTCGAAGTGTGAGGGATAGAGGTTAGAAGAATATGTCCCTGAACCCGGGTCGGGTAGCCCTGGGTCAATGGTCTCCACCACTGGGGTTTCAGGAAATAAGTGGGAGATAGATGACCCAGAGACCCCAGCACTTTCTGCCTCTCAGTGCCTGCTGTTCTTCCAGCTGCTACCCTGGCCTCTGGCCACCCTGACATCAACAACCCTTTGGCAGTGCCCACCTGGGGAGGAGCCTGACCTGGTGAGCATTGCCCTGCCCTCCTGCCTGTCCTGGGAAGGCCCTAAGGACCAGGGGCAGAGTCCCTGGCCTGACCCCTCAAGGGTCCTCAGGCTTGGCTCCTGGCCGTGTTCTCACCACCTTTTACTTCCCACAGGACCCGGGGCAGGGCACATTATGTAGGCCCTGTCCCCCAGGCACCTTCTCAGCTGCATGGGGCTCCAGCCCATGCCAGCCCCATGCCCGCTGCAGCCTTCGGAGGAGGCTGGAGGCTCAGGTGGGCACAGCGACTCGAGATACACTCTGTGGAGACTGCCGGCCTGGGTAAGCCAAGGGGGAGTGTGGGGAGGGCTCCTAGCTGGGTGGCCAGGACTCTGGATCCTGGGGTTCCAGCCTTACTCCACCTTGAGCAGGCCTCGGTCTTCCCATCTGTGAAATGGGAGGGGACAGGACCAGTAAGGGTGGCTGGTGGGAGGGAATCCAGCCTCTCCTAAGGACAGTGTTTGGGGGAACTTCCAGGGCCTCAGTGGCATCTTCCTTCCTCACAGATGGTTTGGGCCTTGGGGGGTCCCCCGTGTTCCATGTCAACCATGTTCCTGGGCACCTCTGGGTACTCATGGCTGTGATGGTGAGTGGCAGACTGGGGCTAGGCTTGGTGTGGGGGTATGTGTGGGAGGGGGCCAGTGAGCTAAAGCCCAGCAGCCTCTGCAGTGTTCATATGGGGGCAGTGGGGTTCTTCTCCCAGCCCAGGGCAGGGCGTGTAGCCAGAGGGTGTCCAGCAGGGCACAGTCAGCCACTCCCCTGGCTGTGTCTGCCCACTATGCTTCCAAGTGGCAGAAAGCTTCCTGCAGGTGGCACCCATAGCTGGGTCTGGGGACTCATATGCTGACCTGTCCCCTGTCCCCATCCCCTCAGAGAGTCATGCCAACCAAGTGCAGTGGCTCATGCCTGTAATCTCAACACTTTGTGGGGCCAAGGCCGGAGAATCAGTTTGAGACCAGCTTGGGGAACATAACAAGACCATGTCTGCAAAAAATAAAAATAAAAAATTAGCTGGGCGTGGTGGTGCCATTCAGGAGGCCGAGGCAAGAGGATTGCTTGAGCCCATGATTTCCATGCTGTAGTGAGCTGTGATCATGCTGCTGCACTCTAGCCTGGGCCACAGAGCAAGACCCTGCCTAAAAAAAAACACCCATGCAGATGAGTGAGTGCAGGCACACACTCATGTGCACACACCTCCTCCTGCCACTGTGTCACCCTGAGGCACTGATTCATGGCAGGGCCACTGGCAGGCTGATCTGATGTCCCTGTGCCCAGGCATGTGCCCTGTGTGTCATCTCTTCCCCCCACCGAGCCCAGCATGAACAGAGGGTGGGGCTGGGTGTCTGGCCATCCTGAGGCCTTGTTCAGGGTGATGCTTCGAAGGCCAGAAAGGAAAACAGGAGGGCAGTGGGTTGACCTTTGCATCCCCAGAAAGGCGGGGAGTAGGCTGACCTGGGCGCGTCGGCTCTCCTGCAGCCCCCGCTGACTCAGGCCCCGGGCCCCTGTCTCTCGTTTCTGTGTGGCTCTTGCCTCTGTCTTGCCTCCATCGTCTGTGCTGCTCAGAGTGGGGGCGGCGGGCCCGACGTGGCGTGGAGGTGGCAGCAGGGGCCAGCGGCGGTGGTGAGATGCGGCAGCCTGGTAATGGCACCCGGGCGGGTGGCCCGGAGGAGACAGCAGCCCAGTACGCGGTCATCGCCATCGTGCCTGTCTTCTGCCTCATGGGGCTGCTGGGCATCCTGGTGTGCAATCTCCTCAAGCGGAAGGGCTACCACTGCACGGCGCACAAGGAGGTCGGGCCTGGCCCTGGAGGTGGAGGCAGTGGTGAGGCCCGACTGGGGTCCAGGTGGGGAGGACAGAGGGCATGAGCCCAGCCCCAGTTCCACTTGGGGCCTGCCAGCAGAACAGGCAGGGGTCTGAGTGGGAGAGGCCTGGGAGGTGACAGCTGCAGACTGACAAAATGGGAGGAAGGATGAAGGGATGAGGTGTGGCCATGGGGGCAGAGCAGAGGTGGCACAGCTGAGCAGGTGGCTTCAGCAGGATCCCACCCGGCATGAAGCCTTGCCTAGATGTGCAGATCTGGACTCTTTGGAGGCCACAGTTGTGTATATGGTTCCAGGGTCAGATGGCCTTGGAGGTATTCAAGACCATGTCTGCAAAAAATAAAAATAAAAAATTAGCTGGGCGTGGTGGTGCCATTCAGTGAGACTGCACTTGTTTTCCTAGAGACCTCCTTTAACTGCTGGCTGCTGTCTGGGTGCAAGTCCTGGAGGAGGAGGTGTGCCCTGTGTCGGGAGGGCTGGCAGGACAGCTGTCCTGTCCTGGGTAGGAGCCACGAGGGGCTCAGGTTTCGGTTTTAGGCTGTGGTTTGAGTTACAGGGCCTGGAACTGGAGGGACAGGCATGTGCCACCACCCCCACCCCCAGGGCCTCGGGCCCCTTTCCTTCTTCCCCACACCACCACTCCCCTGCAGGGCAGGGGCCCACGTGCACTCACTCTGCCCTGGGCCCATGGGAGCCTGTGGCCACATCATTGAATGAAATGGCGTCTCCCATGCCAGCACCCTGGGCTGTTGGGCTGGTATGGGAGCCGGAGCCCCTTCCAACTCCTGACACTGGAGGCAGGGAGGGGACAGGAGCATTAGGCCAGCAGGAAGGAAGGTGGTGACTCAGGGCCATTTTGCCTGAGACTGCACTTGTTTTCCTAGAGACCTCCTTTAACTGCTGGCTGCTGTCTGGGTGCAAGTCCCGGAAGCTCTGTTTGTTGTTGGGTCCAGGGTTGATCATTGTGGCCCATTCTCAGACACTTGAGATTTGGGACCAAAGCTGACTAGGGGCTCTCAAATTGTTACACAGACAGAGGATGGTACAGAGAGGCCATGGAATGGCAGTTTGCTGTAGATTTTGGGAGTTCTGGGTAGGGAGGCGGTCCACAGCTCCTTCAGGCTGAGGAGGAGACAGTATAGGCCCAGAAGAAGCTGATGTGCCCTGCCCCTCAAATCAGTGGCTGGATTTCACATGGCCCTGAAGCCTCTATGCACCCGGGCTGTTGGGCGCAGGAAGCAGTGGTGTAGAGTTGTGAAGGTGATACGGGCTTCTCTGAGCCTGGATCCCGCATTTGCAGGGCTCTGGGATACTTGTCACCTAAACACATATGCTCAGGGCCCTCAAGAATGCCAGGGGTGCCCTCTGCTGGCAGACCATGGTGTAGCTCGGGAGCACGGCATCCCCTGTTCCTGTGGATCAGGGCCCTTCTCTTCCCCAGGAATCAATCCTGCCTACCGGGCTGAGGACGCCAATGAGGACACCATTGGGGTCCTGGTTCGCCTGATCACTGAGAAGAAAGGTGAGGAGGTCTGACCCCATCCCAGTGCTCAGGAGAGGAGGGTTTCCTCCAGGAGCCGTGAGGCAGCCACAAGGGGGCAGAGTCCTGTTTTGCTCTGCCCTCCCTACCAGGGTGCCTCAAGAAGCCTGGCACTCTGATCCAGGAGTGTACGCCTCTGCCTCCCAATCTTGCCTGATGAAGTGGGAGGAAAAGGCACACAGTCCAGGCTGGGATGGGTGGTATGGAGGGGTGAGGGGGTTCTCTGCTGCGGCAGGGTGTAGGAGGCGTGTCCCGTATGGCCAGAGCCGGGGTCTGACCGCAGCTGCCCACAGAGAATGCTGCGGCCCTGGAGGAGCTGCTGAAAGAGTACCACAGCAAACAGGTGGTGCAGACGAGCCACAGGCCTGTGTCCAAGTGAGTGGGCTGGTGGGAGATGATGGGGCCAAAATTCACATTAACCAGCCTGCCTCCTGGGGGTCTCCTGCTTGGGTCTCCCTCCTCATGTAACCCTGTTTCCTCCACTGCCTGCTGGGGTCTCCTGTCCCTGGCCCGGCCTGTGGCCACTTGTGCCTGTGCCCCCTACAGGCTGCCGCCAGCGCCCCCGAACGTGCCGCATATCTGCCCGCACCGCCACCACCTCCATACTGTGCAGGGCCTGGCCTCCCTCTCTGGCCCCTGCTGCTCCCGTTGTAGCCAGAAGAAGTGGCCCGAGGTGCTCCTGTCCCCTGAGGCTGCAGCTGCCACTACTCCTGCTCCCAGCCTTCTGCCTAACCTGACCAGGGTTCCCAAGGCTGGGGCCAAGGCAGGACGCCAGGGCGAGATCACCATCTTGTCTGTGGGCAGGTGAGGTGGGCATGGATGCAGCAGGGGCAGGTAAAGACATGACAGCTTTGGGGGCCGGGAAGGGGAGGCAGGCCCCATCTCAGGCCCTGAGCACCCTGCTCAGTGGGAGCCCTACCCTTAATAGGTCTCTCTGAGAAATGGGGGTGGCCAGAGAGGTCAGGACTTCCCTGTTGTGTGATGTCTCACACGAAGCCCTTGTGTCCCTAGGGCAGCGTCTTGGCCCCTGTGGCACCCGGGCCTCTCAGGCTCAGGCTTTGGTCCATGAACTTGTTGTGTGACCCTGGGCAGGTGCTGCCTTCTCCCTGCCTGGGGATCCCTGCTAATGGGGATGATCGCCGCACTCTCCTCACAGGTTCCGTGTGGCCCGAATTCCTGAGCAGCGGACAAGTTCAATGGTGTCTGAGGTGAAGACCATCACGGAGGCTGGACCTTCGGGGGGTAATCTTTCTGACTCCCCACAACCTGGCCTCCCTGCTGAGCAGCAGGCACTGCTAGGAAGTGGTGGAAGCCGTACTAAGTGGCTGAAGCCCCCAGCAGAGAACAAGGCCGAGGTGAGGGCCAAAGAGAAAGGTATCTATTGGCAGCTGGGCCAACCCTGACCAAAGATGGGGCAGGGGTGGAAGTGCGGCGGGCCCTGGGCAGGGGCCATTTTCCTGGAGCTGAAAGCCAGCCCCTGACTTAGCTTTGACCCCTCACCCCTGTCCACCAGGAGAACCGCTATGTGGTCCGGCTAAGTGAGAGCAACCTGGTCATCTGAAGGGCAGTCTAGTCTGAGGACACTGCAGCTCTTCCCTGGGAGGTTCCAAAGGCTTCCTAGAGGAGGTGGAGCTGCAGCTAGGACTGTGAGGACCAAGAAGCAATGGCCCAGCAGACCAGACGGCGAAGACCAAGGCCTGGAGATGGGAGTGTCCACCCCAGCGAGGAGGCAGGTGGCTGGCAGGCACTGTGTGCAGGAGCGGACTGAGCCCCGCCTCCAGCCCTGCTGCCAGGTTGTTCCCCTGCAGGATGCCCTGGCCCCTATGCCTTCCCTGGCTAGATCCTAGGAGCTCATGGGATTCTCTGTATCCCCAGAGGGCTGGGCTTGGCAGAGGGGAAGGGCCGTGCCCGTCACCGGTGGCCCCATGCCTTGGTAATTAGCCATGCCCTTGCCTCTGTCCAGGGCCCTAGAGCAGATGTGCCTCCCCCTCCTCTTCTGGCAGGTACTGTAAAGGAAGGGGCAACAAAAAGTCCTGGGATGGGAGAATGAGTCCCTGGGTTCTAATCTTGGACCATCCATGGCCATTGTCAGGTCCATTTTTCTGACTGTGAAGTGGGGAGAGACGTCTCAGTATCCAGGACCTCTCCAGCTCTTTGTAGGTTCTGGGCTGGGTTGTGGGGACTGGGGAGCTGGGCTCTACCACCCCTCCTATGAGTAGCTTTATCCAGCCCCATTTTTGCTGCTTCCAGAGCCTCCGCCTTCAAGGCCCCACGGGGCTGTCCATCCTTGGCTCTCCCTAAGGAAGGGGCTTAATGCATGTGCCTGTCCCCCTCCAACCCAGCTGTTTTTAATGAAACCAAAAAAACAGACTTGGTCCTGGCAGGACTGTGGTGCAGCACCCCAGCCTGCCCAGCCAGCCCCAAGGTCTCAGGAGCTTTAGGGAGAAGAGTGTTGGCGGGGCTGGAGCGCACCTCGGGCCTCTGTGGTTTCTGCGTCCCTGTGGTGCCAGTGCCTCTGGGCAGTGCAGGTGGCTGCTGGGCCCAGCCCTGACCTCCACTGTGGCTCAGCAACCTATTTTATTTATGTGGGGCCATGCAGGCGTGGGCCCACTGCTTGTCCGTCCTGTTTCTCTTATTTATTGAAAGTTGCTGTTGCACTATCCTTATGTCTCCATCCCCTTCTATTTGTTGAATAATAAAAGGTGGGAAAGTGCTGTCACGAGGAGCTCCTTTTCTCTGTGCCCTTCCCAGCTTATCCACCTGTTCCACGTGTGCCTGTCGAGCCCTCTCCTGTGTTGGGCACCGTGACTGGCTGCCTTCCCCTCGAAGCTCGCGTGCCTCGGCAGCAAGGAAAGCAGGCCCAGAGGAGACCCCTCACCTCATCTGGTTCTCACCAAAGCTCCTAGCTATAGGCAGGGCTGTCCCACAGAAATAGCATGAGCCACATATGTGACTTTAAATTTTTGGACAACCATATTTCAAAAAGTAAAAAAGCAGGTGAATTTAATTTTAATAATATATTTAACCCAGTCTATCCAAAATATTTTCATTTCAATATAAAATCAGTATTAAAATTGTGAATGAACTTTTTTGCTTTTGCCTTGAAATCTGGAGTGTATCTTACACATCTTGATTGGAACTCGAATATTTCAAGGGCTCCGTAGCCACACTAGTGCAGCACTAGGGGAAGTGCAGCTGTGTGGAGCCCAGGAAATGAATGAGGGTAAGGAAGACACGTGGGCCAGGGAATGTGTTCCTCTGAGAGGGACAGCATGTGCAAAGCCCAGCACCAACACATGGTGGGCACCTCGGCCTTAGGCCAAGATGCTGGGGAGCCTCCGAAGCATTCAGCTCCTGCTTGGCAAGTGTGGAGAGGAGAGGAGCTACAGGAGCGGGTGCCACGCCCAGGCAAGAGATGGAGAGTCTCCATCGAAGATTCCTAGGGCAAGCTTCCAACCTGGCCCACAGGCCGCATGTGGCCCAGGACGGCTTTGAATGGGGCCTAACACAAATTCATAAACTTTCTTAAAATATTATAAGATTTTTTTTTTTTTGCTTTTCCTTTTTAATTCATCAGCTATTGTTAGTGTTAATGTGTGGCCCAAGACAACTCTTGCACTGTGGCCCAGAGAAACCAAAAGATTGGACACCCCTGTGCTAGGGTTTTGTAATGGGAAATGGGTAAGGGGCTTAGGGCCAGCTGGGTGGGACAACTGGAGCAGTCCTGGGGGCACCTGTGACACAGCCATGGAGGACGTCCCGTAGCATCTAGATGTGAAGGCCCGGAGCTCTCAGGGGACAGACCTGGAGACAAGAAGGCCTACAGGCACTCAGGTGGGTGTTTTGACCAGGACTTGGCTAGTAGGAAACATGGCCTGGGGACAGGGCCTGGGACAGATGCCTGGGCTCCTGCTGCCCCAGCGTGGCCACCCCATAGCTGCCCTGTGCAGGCCCTACAGAGATGGCACTGCCAGAGAGGCAGGAAGGAAACCAGGGAGGGCAGTGTCCTGGCAGCCAGGGGAGGGGATGGGAGCAGGGTAGGCTGCAAGGCCAGGTGCTGCTGGCGGTGAGTCTCTGTGAGTGGCACAGGAACTTGGTGGGATTCAGCTCAAGGAAGGGGTGAGACGAGGGCCAGGTACAGGTGGATTGAAGGAGACGGCTCCCTGCCGAAACCTGGCATAGGCCATGGCTGGGTGGGGCCTTACGCTCTGGGGAGAGATGATTTTTAGTTAATTTGGGGTTTTATTGGTGTTTGGTATGTTGTTTAAAGATGGAATAGAGGGACACTTTTAAACGGCCTCAAGGAGAGGCTGAAGAACAAGAGTGACACTTGTTGGCACCTAGGGAGGAGTGGAAAGGACCAGCTTCTGGGGGTCCCAGGCCTGCACAGGCCATGCTAGGGCTGCAGGAGGCTTGGCTTCACAGAGGGCAGAGGCTTTTCTCCTGAGCAGAAGCCAAGCTGGGGGCCTGGCCTAGTGGCTGCAGAGAACACTGCCGTGGGCAGATGTGCTTTGGGATTCAATCTCTCCTTGGGTACCTAGGGTGCAGGCTTCTCTCTGGGCCTTCTCAAGTGGGCAGGAAGGGGAGAGGGACACCTCTGAGGATCTAGGAGATGTTTCACCTGTAGCAGGAGAGGGAAAGGAGACAGACTGGACATCAGGAGGGATATTCTGGAACAGCAAATGTTGCCAAAGTGTAGGACAGGGTGTGTGTTGTAGGGCATCAGACGATGCCATTGGTCTTCAGGACCCACACCCTCACCTGGAAGTTTTTCTGGCTTGCTCCATCTAAATCCTTGAAGTTTTGTCAGCTCTTGAGCTCAAAGAGGCCCACGCGGAGGTGGGAGCTGGAGGTCAGGGTAGGGTTCTGGGCTGACCAGTGAGGGGGAAAATTCTGAGCTTGACCTCTGTGCTCCATCCCTCTTCCCCACGAGCCAGAATGGTAGGGGCTGGGACCCATGTCTCTACCTCCCTTCCTGCTCCTGGCCCTCAGCTCTGCCACTGCGGCCTGGAGCTGAGCCTCTAGGAGAAAATCCCTTCCTGCATCAGAGAAACTGACTATGGTGACACAACCCCGACAATGCTTGTGGCCAGAGCTGTCCCCTTGGACACTGTAGGTGGGTTTCATATTGGGTTAAGGACAGTAAGGGAGGCTGGGTGGAGGCATAGGATGAGATCTGGTGAGAAGCATTAGAGAGTAAGGTCTAAGTTTTCATTTAAGCTGCCGTGTGAGCCAAGCTATTTGGCCTGTTTCCTCTCCGGGTGAGGAGGCTAAGTTCTTAGAGGTATAACTATGGGCACGTGGAGCATGAGCTGTACAGGCTTGGCCCTGGGAAGGAATGGTAGACTGATAACCCAGGGAGAGAAGCCTGGGCCTGGCCTAGGCAGTGGCTTCACCCAGAAGGGAGATAAGAGGTTTAGTGTTAGGAGGCAAAACTGACAGCACTTGATGGGACTGCTTTGGTTGAAGGCACCAGAGCCTCCCTCAAATGTCCTTTTTCTGTAACCACAAACCACCAAGTCCCCCTTCGTCTCCCATCTGACAAATCTACCTTTTAAGAAAACTCAGGAAGCTGGGTTCCGTGGCTCACACCTGTAATCCCAGCACTTTGGGAGGCTGAAGCAGGCAGATCACTTGAGCCCAAGAGTTCAAGACCAGCTTGGGCAAAATGGTGAAACCCCAGCTCTACAAAAAAAAAAAAAAAAAAAAGCAAAAGTTAGCTGGGATTGGTGGTGTGTACCTGCAGTCCCAGCTACATAGGAGACTGAGGTGGGAGGATCACTTGAGCCCACGAGGTGGAGGTTGCAGAGCGCTGAGATTGTGCCACTGCACTGCAGCCTGGTGAGAGACTGTCTTAAAAAAAACCCTCAGGCCTTGATGGGCAGAACATGGGCTTGATGCACAGGCTATGGAGCCAGACCAAGTGCCAAATGTGAGTTTAACTCTGCCCCTCACCAGCTCTGTACCCTCGGCCAACGTACTTACCCTCCTCAGCTAGCCCATCTAAGATGGCGCTAACAGGGCTCACCTCACATGTGCTGTGAGGACTGTATGCCTTAACAAAGATGAGCAGCAGGTGCCAGCCACATGGTAGGCACTCATAGATGTCAGCTTTATTGAGTAGACAGCTCAATTGGTTTCAACTCTGAATGGCCTCACTGTGCTCCCACATCACACACTTAAGGTAGGTGCTGAAGTTGCCACTTCATAGCTCCCCAGCAGCTGTAAAGTAGGTCTACTCTTAGGGCAGACCCCTGTCATATCGGCTGAGATGCACTTTAGGTATTTCTTGACGCTGAGAAAAGTTTAGCATCAACTTGGGGAGAAGCCCAAGGGAGTCACTGGCCCGGGGACAGTCCTCTGTGCCTCCCTTCCCAAGAACCACTCAGTCTAGTCACCTAAGACTTTTTTGGGAAACTTTTTTTTTTTAATAGTTATTGAGTGTTCTACAGCTTACAGTAAATATCATAGTTACAAATTCTTGGCTTCAATCTTTCAGAGTGATCACTGTCTGGTCTTCAAAACATAACAAAAACCCAAAAGAATCCAAAACAACAAAACAAAACCAGATTTACACTTCATACACACAAGCGAGGCCATGGGGCTTTCCAATCTTTACACTCTGTGGAGTGTTTTGAAAACACCTATAAATTCTTTGATCAAACTACTTGGAAGACACTGGTCAAAGGTTTTTTATTATTATCATTTTAAATGTTTTATTTCTTTTTAAAATGTGAGTTCCAATAAAATTTAAAAATTAGATTCCAACCTGTAGATTAAAATGAATTAAAAAATACAAAATCATATACAACGCTCTCTTCACAGGGATGTTACATGCCATGAGAACAGGTTTCTCTGTCATGTGATATGAAACAGGGAAGCAGATGCCTTGAAGTCAGGTTGGGGACAGGCCCTTGGGCCTTTAGATTATTATAGACAACTCCAAGTTGCTAGAGGCCTGGCCTTGCCTCCCCCTGGATAAGGAGGAGCTTGAGTCACACCATAGATCCAGACTATCTGGCTGACCCAAGGAGGTCGTCTCTGGGATAGTCCCCACTCTTAGTCTCTGACTCTTAGGCCTGGGGAGAAAGGCTGGGGTCTGGAGATGCTGGTCTTGCTGGGGTGAGGCCCAAAGCTGATTTCACCCATTTGATTCCTATGGGCTGGTACTTCTCTGCAAAGCTGCTGTTATATATGTTCTCTTCAGGAAGGAAATGGGTCAAGGCCCTCACTACCACAGCAAGGATATACAGGGACTATCCACGTGGCCACAGGGAAACAAGTGCTGTCTTTTCCCTTTCTGGCTTTGTGGCAGCCGGTCCCAACTCCTGTGTGCCTCAGTTGGCCTTTGGGTTGGACTCAACAGCATGCACAACAGAAGACATCCACTGGAGAAACCGAGGGACTGGGACTCCAGTCTGGCTTAGGCAGGGTTGGCCATGGAATGTTGAAGCTGGCCTGCCAAGAATTTTGAAGGCTGGGCCCTAGAACTATATAATGCTTAATTTAAGAAACAAGGTGTTTTCTAGGAGAGGGGCGGATGGATGAGTAAGGGATAAACCCTGCAGCCCACCTGGCATGCCTCCCTGCGCGCTCAGAGGCTCTGGTGTGGAATCCCATCGGTTAGTCTGGCCATGTTTCTTCAGCTCTGTGGGTGGGTCCCACTGGCCCACTCTACTACTGTGCCCTCCAGATTCCCGAGCTTGGCAAGCAGCTGGGGCTGCACAGCCAGTGGTGATTTGGGAGAATACAGGATAGAAAAGCAGACTTCTGTATATTTTAACTTAACTGCAATTGAGGAGGAATTATGATATAGATGCTGATAGAGAAGAAAGTTCACAGGGCCCAGAATGAGGCTCACTGCCTCTGGCCACAGAACAGAGCTGAGGAATTGGATATGGAGGCTCTGGGGCTGGCTTAGCCAGTGCCTCACTGGAAACATGGATGAGTCCTAGCTGTATGAGGAGCCAAAACTTGTCCTACTTTTCTACTTCAGGTGATTCCTTTCTGAAGCCCATCAGAACAAAACAAGGCCTTCAAAGGAACCCCAGATCTCTGGGAGCGAGGTATCTCAAATTTGGAACAATTTGGATAGGCAGGGGTAAGGATGCTCAGAGTCTGGTTCTGTTCCTCACCCATGGGAAAAGCAAGCAGAGAGACCTCTGTCCACATGCTTTTGGCCAAGGACATGGGCCTCTCAATAGAAAGATGCCTCCAGTGTCCTTCAACATGTCTTCAGTCCTGGGCACTGTGATCCCCAAAGTGTTTTGTCCAAGATAGGCCTTTAATTGCAAATTCTTGTCTTCTTTGTGCTGCCAGCTAGATGTGCCTCTGTGTCCCCAGGACCCATTACAGGTCCTGGCCCAAAGCAGTTCATACAAATTTGCTCAGCTCAGAGGACTGGGCTTCCCTGGTCTCCATAAGTATGGGTAGCCCCTCCCTTCATGCTTGCCAAGACACCCAGCAGGTGGCAGCAGAAAGAGCAGAGGGTCTGAAGAATCACAAGCTGCGTAACCCTTTAGCAAGTCTCAAGCCTTCTGAGACTTAGTTTTCTTCATCTATAAAATGGTGGACTATGGCAACCAATGTCAAAGTACTTTGCATACCAAAAAAAGCTCCAGACAGGTGTGTCCCTACTAAATATTCAGGAAAGGGGATATACATTTTAGGGTCATTTGCCAAGTAAGAAAGAACAGCAACTGTCTTATCTCATGAGGAAGAAATTAAATATGCATTTTTTTCAAAACCTGGCAAATGATTGTTTCAGGCTTTCACTATTTGCAGGCAATCCAGCTCCCACACTCAAACTTTCTTGGCCGCAGGCCAGTGAGGAGACAGTATCAGGTAGAAGTAGAGGAATTCAAAAGGGTTGGCTGGTGACTGAAACCATCTGTACCCCTGATCCTGGCCACAGGTGTTGCACCTGGGGAGAGGCAGTGGCGTGAGAAGGAGAAAGGGGTTTGTGTGCTGGTGCCAGTGTGTAGCTGTCAGGTGGGCACACCCCTTGTCTTCTTTCTTACCTGCCTGCCTGCCTGCCTGCCTTCAGTGGGACGGCCCTTCCAGCTCTTTTTGTCTAGCTTGACTACCATGCCATCTAGAATCTTTGGAGGATACCTATGGTACCTCCCACCAGATCTCTGTGACCTTACCAGTAACTGTGCCCATCCTACTAGAGGCACATGACTGTCCCCTCTCCCCAGCTCAGTCCCTTTGCAGTGACTCCCCAAGCTTGGCCAGGCTTGTGGATCTCCATCACAGCAAGAGGGTTGAGGCTGGCTGAACTGGGGCTCATACTGAAAAAGGGGTGCTGGACCTGGGGTCTTCCAGACCACAGCCTTTCAGTGCCTTATTTTCACCTTGGGGCCTCCCTTTCCTCCTGAATTACATGGTAGGGGCAAAGACAGGGCACAGGGCATAGATGCTTCAGTATGTGAGCCTGGTGGGAATCAGATGGAGGAGAATAAGGTAGCAGACAAACTGGGATTCAAGTGGTTGTGTCACTTATTAGCAAGTCACTTGACTTTTCCAAGCCTTGATTTCCTTAAGGATCGAATTGGAGAAATAACCTCTATCTCATAGGGTTAAGCCAGAATAATGTATGTTAAACTGTTCTGTGAACTGTGAGGTCCAGTTGTTAGTTTTACTTACTGGTATAGAAAGAAAAAAAGTTACACGGTCATCCCTAGGTCTCCTCCTCCTCTTTCTCCTGTCTGTGGTTCCATCCCAGCCCTCATAGAGGCAGCAGGGTTCTGGGAAGCCTGGCAGATACCAGCATTCTGCTGACTGTGGGCCTGTTCCCTTCCATAACTTGTTTTCTCATTTGTCAATTGACTGTAATAACTCTGACCCTGTCAGGGTGAGTACGAGAAAGACTGTGAAGTGCTTTGAACTCTATAATGTACCTGACAAATGCAAAGGTTTCTATTATCATCATTATCATTATTATTTTGGCATTTTTCAAACACATATGACATAATCTAGAACAACCTTCTACCTTTACAAAACCAGAGCGGGTAGGAGGAGTATCTGCAAAAAGTGAATTAACACTGGAAAACTTTATTTTAAAGTGAAACCTCATCAGCACCCCAGAACAGACAATTTAGAATAGCTGGATTTTTTCTTACTGGTCCTAAAGTTCCTTGGAAGCCCAGGAAGGTAGACCCCCAAACTTCTGGCTCCAGGCCAAGGATGCTGATGGGCTTTGCCCTTCTGGGAATGGCTAGACACCTTCTAAGCTCCTTCTAACCCAAGGGTTTCCTGATTTTTCCCTCCCTTAGGGAGACATGGGAGGTAGGAGTAAGGGTATGTCCAAGTTTTCCTGAATTTAAAATGAAAACAGTTTTTTAAAGTCCCAAATGTTGTCAGTGATCCAATTTTATACAGTAAAATATTCATGCCTCACCCCCAGAGGGGCTGCTGGCCCAGCCAAGTGCTGGGTGCCAGAGGCTGCTGCTGAGCAATCCAGGCTCCTGGCTGAGACTAGCAGGGACCTCCTCGTCCCAGAGATCCCTCTTCTCCCAGATGGGCCTGTCTCCTGGGCCTCATTCTTGTCTTCCTCTCCTGATGACTCCCATTCTCTTCTTCCTCTTCCTTTCCCTGTCCTCTTGGGATGAGGAGCTAGTCCTAAAAGCAGGGCCTCTCCTTTTCAGCCAGCCCACCTGCTCCTTCTGCAGGTAGAGTCAGGTACAGGATGAAAGTTCCAGATGTCTTCACAGAATTTCCAAGTGCTGTTTCTTCATTTGCAATTTCTGTTCCTGCCATCTGCCCCCGTGTGGCCTCTGCCCAGTCTTTGACCCCTGCCTTTGGAGTCCATGGAGGAAAAGAGCAGAAGTAGGAGCCCAGAGACCATTCCAGAGCTTACCAGGTATGGGCACTGCTGACTTAATTTTTACAAAACCAAGCCAATCCATCCCTAGGTAAATTTTTGTAGGCAATGCCACTAGGTAGGAAGGCTGCATTTAATGCTAATTTACTGTGAGGTCTAGGGAAGTTCGTTCTTCTTCTCTGGGCCTCAGTTTCCTCATCTGCCAAATAGGGGAATGGATGAGATGATTGCTAAGGTCCCTTCAGTTCCATGAGTCTATGAAATGTTTATTGCTATTGCTTTTCCTTCACTATCCTGACCTTCAGAGCTGCCAGCACCCACCTGGAATGTGGTTCCTTCACTTGGGCCATGAATGGCACAGGTAACCAAGAGCTTGGCCTGCCTGCAAGCTCTACGAACAGACAGGTGAGTCCTGGCACTGGGAAGGGCAAAAGGAAAGGGAGAGAAATGCCCTAGGTTCCCACTCCGATCAGGAGGAAGCTCCTCATCAGAGTGTGTCCATGACAGCTCAGAGGCCGAAGTCTGAATTACACAGGGCATCTGGCCTTCCAAGGCCCTGGGATGCTGGGATCCCACCACCCTGCAGCTGCTTGGCAGGTCTAAGGTCAAAATCACCTTTTGAGGAAGTGCCAGGTCAGTGAACATCACTGTGCAAATCAGAAGGTCCAGGGCCAGATGCTTTGGCTAGAGACCTTTCAAACCAAAGCAATGAGGCAAGCACTGCTCCTCCCTTCTCTCTCCTTCCCCACAGTGCCCTCCCTCCCCCACCCTCCCCCAAATTCTAAAGACTTTTTCCCCCAGATTCTCAGCCTGGGCTATTAAGCTGCTAATAACACTCCTACATACTCAGGTGATTTTGTTCTTGGTCTGTTTCAATGGTTCTCAGGAGACATTTCATTTGTGTTCAGGACATGGCAATGTCCTGAACTAATCTTAAGAAAAACAAGAACACTCCCTCAGAGATGTAGCCTCCTCAACAGCTCTGAATTCCTACCCCAGACCACATCTGTTTATGCTCTTCAAATGGAATCAAGCCTTCAGATGAACCATTGCAATAAACCCTACTCTGCTTGCCTCTAGACCGGGATCCCCAGGGACAGGACACTTAGGGAAGAGCATAGAGGACATGACCTGGTCAGGTAAGAGGAAGGGGGTAGAGCTGGAAGGGCAGCGGCTAAGAGGGGAACAGTGGCGGAGAGGCAGGAGATTAGAAAAAGCAGCTTTTACAGAAACCAAAAATCAAAATCAAAACCATTAAAGATGCATAAAGTGACCCTTGCACTTCCGTTGTCTCTTGCAAATAGAGGTGGTGCTGCTAAGGGAACTGCTCCAGCACCGGTGTAAGACTTGAGTAGTTGCATACAATGTGTGACTCCAGATCTGTGGAGAGAAAGGGGAAAGAAACTGTGATACTCCAGAGGCCACTTTAGGAAACCTCTGGTCCCCCACCCTCAACTTGGGAGCCCTTCATGGGGCCTCTGTGCCTTCCCAGTGAAGTTGCCCACTTCCCACCAGTGGAATTTGTGCTCTGGTGCCAAGAGCCCTGAAGAAGGTGGGGGGAGGACAGATGATGTGGTGGGCCAGAGGATTTCAAAGGCACATCCCTGGAGCCCTATGGTTCACTGTCACTGCCTCATGAGCTGCTGAGGTGACTAAGGAAGCCAGTGGTCTGGGTCAGCCCAAAGCCTCCAACTGGCTCCAACCAAAGCTCTAACATATGATTTAGCTAAGATTTCATTTGAAGAATGGGGCCCATAGTTAGAAGAAGTCTGAAGACCATAAGGTAAATGGCACCGAATTTGGTACTACAGAACTGGCGTTGAAGCCTTAGCTTAATTTTTGTTGCTTAAGTGATACTGAACTACATATTTATCTGTAAAATAGAGCTAATGATTCTTATTTCACAGAGCAACTGTAAGGATTATGAGATAACATAAGCAAAGGGCTAGCAATTATTATTTCTGTTGTTACTTAGATTTCAACAAGCAGTCAACAGAAGTGATAGCTATTAAGAGTGATATTATGGACCCTGGAGCAGGAAAGCAAGGTAACTTGACAACTGTTATCTGCCCCAGCTGACACCTGTGCTCCAGACCCAAGCCAGGGGCTTTGAGGCAGTTCCTGTATGTATCCACCTCCCACATCTCTCACCCTGGCTGCACTCACTTGGATGGGCTGCAGGCTTTACCAGTGTGGGGGCACGTAGCTGTACGCAGGGGTTCCTTGGGCCCTGTATGTTGGCATGGAGACAGGGTGTGCCCCAATCGCTGTGTGCTGGGGTGTAGTCAGCAGGGTACCTGAGCATCCAGAGAGAGAAGAGTAACCTGATGAGGCTGTACCAGACACAGGAATGAAGAGGATGAAGCTACAGTCTTTGGCATGACTGCTCCCTCTGCCTGAATCCCCCATCTCCCTCACCTTCCTGATGCACGGCTGTCTGCCCTTCTCCACCTCAGCAGGCTTCACCTCCTTATGGCAATCTTTTCTGATGCTTGAGGACAGAATCACTATTCCAAGTCCTCCTCTTCCCTCCCCCCCTTTTTTTTTTTGAGATGGAACCTCGCCCTGTTGTCCAGGCTAGAGTGCAATGGTGTGATCTCAGTTCACCGCAGCCTCTGCCTCCTGAGTTCAAGGGATTCTCCCACTTCGGCCTCCTGAGCAGCTGGACTTACAGGCGTGCATCACCATGCCCAGCTAATTTTTGTATCTTTAGTAGAGACAGACAGGTTTTCGCCATGTTGGCCAGCTGATCTCAAACTCCTGACCTCAAGTGATCCACCTGCCTCAGCCTCCCAAAGTGCTGGGATTACAGGCGTGAGCCACTATGCCCGGCCTTTCTTTTACTTTTGTGTGTCTTACTGCACATTCATACTCAACAGTAACTGCGATGTCTTGTATTTCCCACACAACCTGGGAGTTCCTTAAGGACAGAATTCTAGTCTGATCTATTGATATCTGGTTCCCAGGACCTGAGCAACAAGGCTGGCACCAAGCAGATATTCAACAGTTTGCTGACTTGATCTGGGGAGTAAGAGGCCTCAACCATACCCTTACATTAGGGGCAGAATAAAATCCAAATGCTCACCCTGCCCCTTGTACTTTCTTATCTCAGATGGTAGCCTAGCTGGTTCTTTAAAAGTTGGGTCTCTAGGCCATGTATAATGGCTTATGCCTGTTACCCTAATACTCTGGGAGTCAGAGATGGGTGGATCCCTTAAGCCCAAGAGTTCAAGACCAGCCTGGGCAACATGGCGAAACCCCACCGCTACAAAAAAAAAAAAAACCCACAAAAATTAGCTGGGTGTGGTGGCACACACCTGTGGCCCCAGTTACTTGGGAGGCTGAGATGGGAAGATCACTTGAGCCCAGCAGATCAAGACTCCAGTGGACCAAGATCATGCCACTGCACTGCAGCCTGGGTGACAAGGCAAGACCCTATCTCAAAAAGAAAAAAGTGTCCTTGGGGACTTCTGCTTCTCTCATCCCTCAAAATTATTATAATTATTGCACAGGTTCTTAAGCTCCTGCTTAATAAAGAATATTGTCCCTGTGTCCTCTTTTTTGGAGCCCCTGCTGTTACCAAAGTGCTAGTATCTCTCTTCTCTAAACTACATTGACAGCCTCCTCACTGACCTACTTGCTTCCAGCTCACCCCTTCTAATCCTGCCTCCACTCTGCTTAATGTTTAAACTTAACGGCGTCCCTGCCGGCCCTGCCTGACCCCCTTTGTGCACAAGAGGTACCGCACGTATTCAAGACTTTCTACCATCTTATCCTTGCCAGCAATCCAGCCACCTTCCAACTCCAAGCCCCCGTTTCCTAAGGGCCTTGGCTCCATTCTATGAACATGCTATCGTCGTGTTCTTTCTGCACCACCCTTCCCTCTTTCACTTCTCTAGTTAGCCTGTGTTCAACCTTTAAGGCCTAGCTTGATATGCCCTTCTTGGTGAAATCTTCCTCATCCCTGTAGACAGACTTAGAGACTCCTTCCTCTGGGTTCCCATACCCTCTCCCCTCCCGCCCCCGGGCACAGGACCTCTTGTGCTATGCTGCAGTGGATTCCACTCTGCTCCGTTGTGAGTTCCTAGAGGAAAGGGATGGGCAGTGATGCAGATGCTGCCCTCACCTGCTGACATTGCCATGGTGGTGCCTGCCACCATACCCATGGCCACGCCGTTGGTCCTGGGAGCGGCAACAGGTGCTGGGTAGATAGCAGAGGGAATGCTGTTGGGCTGGACGACCGTGGTGTGGTGGATGACATGAGGCTGGGCAGCATACACAGGCTGTGTGTAGTAGGCTCCCTGGGGGAAAGAGGCTGAGGTCACATAAGAATTTGGAGAGGTGGGTGGGATGTGGAGAGAAGAGCACGCGCTGAAAGACACAAGGTCCGGACCCCAGCTGGGGCTCTGCTTGTCTTACGATGGGACTGTGGTCAGTGCAGTGCTGGGCTTATTTGAAAAATAAGGCTCTAGGATGTGAGGGCGATCTGGCTGCGACATCTGTCACCCCATTGATCACCAGGGTTGATTCAGCTGATCTGGCTGGCTAGGCGGGGGTATCCCCTTCCTCCCTCACTGCTCCATGTGTGTCCCTCCCGGAGCTGCATGCTCTGTCGAAGAGGACGACCATCCCCTGATAGAGGAGGACGAGTCTTTGGTCAAGGGTACATGAGTAGCCGCACTCCCCTGCTAGAAAAATAAGGCCCTAACCCTGTCCTGCCTTGCCCCAAGGCTACTATGATGATCTAATGGGATAAGAGCTCTACTCCCTTAACCCCGGTTTTAGCATTTAACATGTTTTATCCTATTGCAATTAACTTTTATAAGCTGCCTAAAATTTAAAGGGAGGAACAACAATCGCACGCTTGCTGTTACCAAGCATGTGAACAGGGCTGGTAAACTCTAGAACACATACACTGAAGGATAATTAGTATCATACTGGTACAAGTGCTAGCATTTTACGTTGAAAAAAAATGGCAAGTGGGCGCAGTGGCTCATGTCTGTAATCCAAGCACTTTGGGAGGCCAAGGCGGGTGGATCACTTGAGGTCAGGAGTTCAAGAGCAGCCTGGCCAGCATGGTGAAATCCCATCTTTACTAAAAATAAAAAAAAAATTAAAATGAGCCAGGCGTGGTGATGCATGCCTATAGTCCCAGCTACCTGGGAGGCTGAGGCAGGAGAACGGCTTGAACTCGGGAGGTGAAGGTTGCAGCAAGCTGAGATTAGGCCACTGTACTCCAGGCTGGGCAACAGCAAGACTTGTCTCCACACCCCAAAACACCAAAAAAAAAAAAAAAGCATAAATTGATAGCATTTCCCAAGATGTCTCTTATTAGCTATTTCCCTTTAGGTAGAAAAGGTAAGGATGAAGACAGTGGTCCAAGGTGACTCCCAATTCCTGAGTCACATGGCTGCTTCCTGCTGCTATAATCCACTGGCCCACTGACTTCCAGGGGGAGTAAACTAGAGTCCCTGAGATCATCTTAATTCAGAAATCTTCAAATGTTTCTACTAAATGAGAAAAATATCTCAAGCCTCTTATTAAGTTTTGCCTTCTACTCTAAAATATAGCTGTTTTTTAAACTAAAAAAAGTATTCTCACCACGTACACTTCCTATAGAGTTGTCACTCAGAAGAATGTGTCATGGGTCTGCTAGAGCCCCATATGGTCCCCTGTCTCATACCAATCCTGGAAAGCATACGTCCTCCAGCTGAAGGAGCCCAGAAAGGGCCATCAGGCACAGAAAGAGTAACTTGCCCAAGGTCACAGAGGACACTGGTGACAGAGCCTGTGTACTTTCCTCCTCCCCATTCAGTTCACAGACTTGATAAAGGAAGGGCAGATGTGGGGGTTAGAAAAGACCAAGATATTGGGGTCTCATCTTACCAACTAATAGCTCATGGTGTAACCCTGGACACGTCATTCCCCTCTTTGAGTCTCAGTTTCCCCACTTGTTTATCAAAGGAGTTGAGCTAGAAAATCTCTGAGGGCCCTTGCCCTCTGATGTTCTGGGCTCTGTTAATCTAAATGACTTCATGTCTCATCCCTCTAGGGGCTGAGGTGGAATGAGAGAGTAAGCAGACTGCAGGGATATTGCTTCAGTCATACAACAGGGATGGTTAGCCAGAGCCATAAACTCTCCTCTCCTTCCCTTACTTCCTTGCCCTACCCCACCATACTGCACCCAGGCTGGAGGCTCCTCTACCTGCAGGAGAGGTAGCTTTGACATGTACCTACCTGGGCATACAGATTCTGCTGGGGGTAGGCACTTCTGATTGGATACATGGCCGTCTGATAGGGGTTGGGTGATGGGGAGTAGGGGGGTGGAGCAGTATTACTCTGGGTCGGTGGGACCTTGTATGGTGTCCCCGCAGTATATCCTGTACCAAGGCAATAAGAGAGACTTCCAGTTAGTTGGCAGAAGAGCACTGCTAGAAGGCAGCAGGTCCCAGTCACGACTCCCCAGACAAAGGTGGGCTGAATCCAGGCTGGAAATAGAGATGAGAACAAACAACAGAGCTCCACCCAGAAAGCCCTGACCCCAGAGGCAGCTCCCTCAGTCCTGGTGCACAGGGCTGCATGGATGTTTCTGGGCATCTTTCTTTCTCTGGGTCTCAGGGCTCTTATCTATAAAATAAGAGGCTAGAACCAGATGGTCCCTTTCAGCTCTGACAGCCTGGGATTTGGAGCTGTGTGGAGTGGGCAGGTGCAGAGAGATGGAAGCCCTCAACCCATTTGCTCTTTATTGCTACTCTCTATCTTCTTGCTTTTCTGTCTTCTCATGCAGCACACAGGGTATTTTTTTTGCTACTCTCTCTCTTGCTCTATTTCTCCTTATCTCTCTCTCTCTTCTTGGAGTTCCCTCCATCATGTTCCCCTTCCTCCCCACCAAGTTTGAAGGTGAAAACCCCATACAAAACACCATCCAGAGATCCTCATCTTCTGGGATGCTGAAAAACTTTGCTCTACAGAGTTGGCTTTCCTTCTCTCCTGGGGTCCAGGGGAAGGTTCCCTCTGCCTGAAAAGACATGAAGTCAGAGATCACAAAGATTCACATCAGCCTGGAACCTGGGCCATGTCTGTCGCTCACCAGGATGGACAAAAAGTTGGGACCGAGAGTCAGGCCCCAAGAAGCTCACAATCGACCTTGCAAATAAATTGTGCTACCTTTGAATCCTCCAGAAAAGAGTGATAGATCCTTTGTTCACAGAAAAAAAAAAACTTGAAACGTGAGTCATAAAAGGAGACGAGACTGTCTCCTTTTAGAATCACAAAATGGAATTATTCTATGGAACCCAAGTGATCAAGTGACCCCAACCCTAGCACTTTACACAACAGGATCCTGGGCTCAGAAAAGGCAAGTCTTTTTAATAACTTCTCCTGAAGACTCTAAACTCTTCTAAGTTGAAGGGACAGTACCAGGGGCCCTACACTTTGAAGCCCTGCTGGGGAGGTGCTGAGGTGGCTTCTTTTCTGTGGTTCCATCTTGGATAGGTCTAGCTGACCTCACTGACCCTCTCTGGGCTTCAGCTCTTTCACCTATAACATTCTCGCCAAGGACCCTTTCAGCTCCAAGGTGCTGTTTCTATTACACAAGAAGAGACTGGGGGCAGAGTGGAGGGACTGCTTTATTGGAAGAGAAGACATCTAGTCTTCAGTCCTGGCTTTCCCCCAAATTTTTGGTGACAACTGTCAAGTCTTTGAGCCTTAGTTTCTTATTTTGTAAAATCAGGTGGCTAACAATGAAGATCTCTTCCTAAATGAAAATTCCATGTTTCTAAAGATCTGGGTCTCTTCTACCCTAACCCCACATGAAAGAAAGCTACCACATGGTCACAGATCTCTCTCAGTCCACATCACACCTCTTTGGCTTGGCATCCCCCTGCCCGAGGACTCAAGAGGATGTGAGAGCTGCTACACAGCTGCCACAAAAGTTGAGCTTTCCCTGGATTCATGTCATTTATTTTTCCACCTGCAGATCCATAGTTTTGTGGTCAAATATGCTTGGGAAATAAGTAGCGATGAGGATAGAGTGGGAAGGATCTATGAAAGAAAGGCAAGCATGTTAAAAAGTAGAAACTAACTGGCAGGAGGACTGTGAGATGAGTGAGAAGTCTAGAGCAGATTTCTCAAAGTTTCTAGATTATGGAGCTCATCTTGAAATGTCATAGGAGGAGAAGCAGACACTGGGGGAAGACAGGGAGTCTAGCTTTGCAGATGTCTAGAAGGAACCATCTGATGTGTATGGAGAAACAATTTACTATCTATAAAACAAAGGGGTTTTATAGATAAACCAGAGATACATATTTCCCAAATGTAGACAACAGACTATAGATTCCAAGGGATCTTAATAGTTGTTTTTGCCAAAGAAAAGGAAAGAGAGTTCTGTAGTCCCATATGTTTGTGAAGTCGCAATGTAAAATGGAAACAGTCATGATTTTTAAAAAAATTCCATGACCCCGAGAAGTTTTTAAAACAATAGAGTGGGCTGGACATCATGGCTGTCATCTATAATCCAAGCACTTTGGGAGGCCAAGGCAGGAGAAGCACTTGAGACCAGGGTTCAACACCAGCCTGGGTAACATAGACTACATCTCTAAAAAAAGAAAAAAAACTTAGCCAGGCAAGGTGGCTGGTGGAGTCCCCAGCTACTTGGGAGGCTGATGCATCAGGATGGCTTGAGCCCAGGAGTCTGAGGTGTAGTGAGCCCTGATCACACCATTGTACTCCAGCTTGAGTGACAGAGCAAGACCCTGTCTCTTAAAAAACAAAAGGTGGGAGGTGAACTGTGAATCTCTAAGATGGGGATATGTATGAGACTGTATTTCCCAAATTAATTTTACCACGGAATCTTTTATTCATACCATAAACATTTAAAACAATTAGCCAGGTGTGGTGGCTCATGCCTGTAATCCCAGCACTTTGGGAGGCTGAGATGGGCAGATCACAAGGTCAAGAGATTGAGACCATCCTGGCCAACATGGTGAGACCCCATCTCTATTAAAAATACAAAAAAAATTAGCTGGGCGTGGTGGCGTATGCCTGTAGTCCCAGCTACTTGGAAAAATCATTGAACCCAGGAGGAGGAGGTTGCAGTGAGCTGAGATCACACCCCTGCACTCCAGCAGCCTGGCGACAGAGTGAGACTCCATCTCAAAAAAAATAAATAAATAAAACAGTTAAATTTCAGCAATGTTTTTTGTAATTGCAGCTTGTTTTGGTTAACAAAGTTTTATTGTAACATATCTACAACCATTCATTTACATATTGACTAAGGCTACTTTCCTGCTACAATGGTAGTTACTGACAGAGACCATAGAGCCTTTTGAAAAGCCTAAATATTTGGCCCGTTATAGGAATGTTTGCTGACCCCTGATTTAAAAGCAATATATCAAGATGTACAGAATCCTATCAGAGTTGAAAGCATCCCTTTTCTAAGCAGGAGAGAAGGACACCCCTGAACCAGAAGATGCCTGTTTCTGAAAGCTCTGCAGCACAGAGAAGTGGTTACGAGCAGTCTGGGGACAGACTGACTGCCTAGGTCCAAATCCCCAGCTCTGGGACTTAATAGCTATAGGATACATCAGTCTTCTTGTGTATAATATGGGAACAGTAATGGTATCTACTTCATAGGATTCCTGTGATAAAGACATTAATTGTTAAGTAAAAAGCTCTTAGAACAGTACCTGACATATTAGAAGCACTTCATAAAGATTAGCTATTATGATTTCTTCTCTCTCACTTTATAGGGAGACAGTAAGCTCCTGTCCTAAGGGTATGCAGGCAGAGCCTATGGCTACTATGGTCTGTCCCAGCTTGGAACACAAGACTCCAGGATTCTAAGATTCTAAAATGTTATGGCTTAAAATGCCATGATTTTGTGATTCTTTAAAGTTAACAGGCCAATGATGCTGATGACTTTCCTTTATACTCCTGGAGAATATGCTCTGGAATTTTTATCTTCCCTGGGGAAGCTGCGTTACCTACTCTATGCCGCAAGGACAGCCGTATTACAAAGTGGTGAGACTATCCCTCTGAGGAAAATAAAAAGCTCTAAGAGACTGCAGCAGAATTTGGTTTCCACATCTAAGAATAACCTTGTTGGAGGATGTTTCCCTTTCTTTATGTTATGAAATGAGACACACACATACTTAGAATACAAATAAGTAGCCAAAACACCCAGGGCAGCCAGAGAGATGATGCTGCAGAGGAAGGCCTTGCTTGTTTGTCCAGACAGTCTGAGATGGGAGAAGCAGAACTGCAGAGCTAGAAGAGACCTCAGAGATCACTAAGACCAGCATAAACACTTCACAGATTAGATCATGAGTAGCTGCCGAAAGAGAGAGCAGCTTGTGGGGATCTAAGACTCGGTCCTACTTCCTCTAACCTCAGTGGTTCTCAAGGTTACCATTTGTCAGGAGGATCTTCATGAGGCTGCAGAAACTGCCTGGGGGCCCTCATCCTAGGGTCTGTCAGTAAGTCAGGTCAATTCCTCTCTAAGGGAATTTCCTCATTTGGACTACACAGTATCAGAGAACCTTTCTAGTGCTGATATTCTAAGTTTCTGAGTATTTGAGAAGACTTTTATGAGGAAATCATTACGGAGGACTTTCCACAATATACTGGTGGTCCTGTCATTACTCCTGAGGAACACTGAAAATTCCCCTGGAGCTATAGCCAGAGCTTGGGTAACACAAAAATCAGGGTTTATTACTTTATGCATCTAACTAAAAAAAGCTGTTGAGCTTGTGGCAAAAAAAAAAAAAAAAAATCATAGATTTTGCCCAAATGAACTTAGACTCAATTCACTCACTGGAGGCCTGGCTATCCTGAGAGGAATTCTAAGCCTAAAGGTCACAGAATTAAGACTTTGGAATGTTGTGCTTGAAGGACATTAGAGGTTTATATTCAATTTTCTTCCTTTCAGAGAAAGAACCTGGAGCCCAGGCAGACAGATTTTCCCCAAATTATATAGCACATCAGTATAGAGCTGGGCCCAAAGTTCAGGGCTCACCATGCCCTAGGCAGAGCTCTTGCTGAGTTAAAGGTCTCTGTAGTCCAATCTTGGGCATTTAATATACTGGCCTTTGTTGTCCCCATTTCACTAAAGGCAATATCATGAGAGAAAAAAGGAATTCAATCACTAGACGTCCCAGTTCTGCCTTATAGAAGAGGTTTTGTTTATGATGTCCTATTCTTTCTCTTACGTTCCTAACCATAATTTTAGAATCCATCAAATGGGATAATAAAAAAGAGTATGTATATTAGCAGGATAAAACCTTTTCAGCCCTTTCTGCGATCCTTTTTCACTGTCATAAATCTTTTTCAGTTGTAGAACCCCTACCACCTTCAAGGGCATTGATCCTCAAATCACGGATGCCTTTTAGACTAATCGGTTTATTGATCATCAAGTTTATGTGTCTGGACAAAACAAAGCTCTATGTCTGAATCTTGCTTTGACCCCTAAGCCTCCTTGTTGGTAGCCAAATAAGACAGTGATGAATAAGTAAGCAACCTAATTACAACAGGCTTAGCAAGTGTCGGTGAAATTGAACTGAATTTGTCAAAGTGCCCTAAATTTTCTGTGGTACTAGAAGCCACAAAATCTGAATGCTGGGAGGAATCTTTATGGGTATGGGAGGGCCAGTCAACCCCAACTGCATTAAAAAATAGTACAGGTTTTTACATTACTTGCTTAAAAGAGAGGGGTTGGCCAGGCATGGTAGCTGATACCTATAATCCCAGCACTTTGGGAGACTGAATTGGGAGGAGAGCTTGAGCCCAGGAGTTCGAGACCAGCCTAGGCCATGTGGCAAAACCCCATCTCTAAAAAAAATAAAAAAATTAGCTGGGCATTGTGGTGCATGCCTGTGGTCCCAGCTACATGGGAGGCTGTGATGCGATGATTACTTGAGCCTAGGAGTTTGAGACTGCAGTGTGGCATCAATGTGCCACTGGACTCCAGTATGAGTGACAAGAGCAAGACCCTTACTCAAAAATGGTCATTGGGGGGTTACACATTTGGTTCTTTTCAAGAACTGTGATAGCCTGTCTGGGAGGAAACAGTGGGATATGGCTGCTGGACACTTAATGGGACTTCAGGAAGATTTCAACATAGTAGAATGCAAGGCCTTCTGTTACTCAGACTTTCTAACTGTGGAAAAGGTTGCCTCTTTTTGGAGATGGTTTGTTGGCCAGCCACTGTTAAGGGCAACTCGAGAGGAGATCCCTGTTGGGGTGGAAGACACTAAGTACACATCATCTTGCTGAGAGAGTAAGAAGTCTAACTGCAAGAAAGAAACTTGGAGATTTAGTTCAGTTCCTTCATTCTGCAGTTTGAAAAATCAAGGTCCAATGCATGGACGTGATTATCCAAGGTTACACAGAACCAGTCTAGAATTCAACGCTTTGGGCTTCCACTCCAGGCCATTTTTTGCTACACTACTGTAGGTGTGCCTGTACGCATCTCTATCCAGATGTTTAGATGTCAGAGAGAATATGTATATCCCTATTTATATATGCATATAATCTTATGTATGTTCACTCATTCTACCTGAGGTATCTGGAAAAACTCCTTATGGCTGACATACCTCTCTTAAAGAGTAAAATCAATCTCATGAGAAAAATCAGTAACAGAATCTTAACCTGGATGGTATCTTTTTCCAGCTGTGCTGCTTACTACTGGGTAGCATTGGATCTATTACCTTTTTGAGCCTCATCTTTCAAACTGGGATGAAAATCCACCCAAATAACTTAGGACGAGTATAATGTAGATTAAATGAGAGGGTGATTATGAAACTATATTCTACAAAAGGTGAGTTACGTTGTATGAACATAAACTGATGTTGACATATAGGGGCAATGAAAACTAGGGAGAAAATGTCTTTGGATGTTGATATGGTTTAGAGGTTTGTTTCCTCCAACTCTTACGCTGAAACGTAACCTCCAGTGTTGGAAATGGGGCCTGGTGGGAGGTATTGGATCATAGGGGTGGATCCCTCATGATGGCTTAGCACAATCCCCTTGCTGAGGAGTGAACTCTTGATTATTCAGAGTGTAGCACCTTCCCAGCCCCTTGCACCCTCTCTTGCCACGTGATATCCTGGCTTCCCCTTTTGCCTTCCACCTTGACTGTAAGCTTCCTGAGGCCCTCACCAGGAGCTAAACAGAAGTTGGTACCATGCTTGCACAGCCTGCAGAACTGTGAGCCAATTAAACCTCTTTTCTTTATGAATTACCCAGCCTCAGGTATTTCTTTATAACAATACAAGAACAGACTAACACAGATGTTTTCAAGAAAAGAAAAAAATACAATGCATTTTTCTATTCTACTTACTCAGTGCCTTAATAATTTGTAGAACCACAGACTATCAGGCCTTGTCTGGAACATCCCTGTGAGGGCTTGCCCAGTCCCTGCTGGCACAACTTAAAAGATAAGTTCTCACCACATCCAAAGTCAGTCATTTCTCTATTGAACAGCTCTGACAAGATACAAAGTTCTTCTTAGATGGAGTCAAGATGTTACTCAGTAATTTCTAAACATTGGTCCTCATTTTCCCGGTAGAACCACTTTGTGTTAAAAATTAGATGTGAAGGTGACAGTATCAGTTACTCTACCGAGCCTCAGGATGAATATGACCAGTCTGACTGGCTAGCTGGTTTCTGGCCTCCCTGAAGACTCCTTGTACACACCATGGTCCCATAGTGCAGCTTCCACTATGGCACTGTTTCTTATAAAGGGGGCAATTTTGTCCCGTAGGGGATATTTAGCTATGTTTATAAACATTTTTGGTTGTCGCAATGAGGCTTTGCGTAGGTATCTAGGGTAGAGGCCAGGGATGCTGTTAAACATCCTATAATGCACAGGACAGTGCCCCGACAACAAAGAATTATGTGGCTTAGATGTCAATAGTGCTAAGGTTAAGAAGCCCTGTGCCAGGGACGAGCCCTCTCTGTCCAAAGACCCACAGACCTTCAAAGTGTGCCCTCTGTCCTTTCCCCCTGAAGTGCAGTAACATTCCTTCCCCAGTCAACTTGCTGGCCAGGTGAGCATTTCTTTCTCCTCCCTCAGTGCTTTGTGTCTCCCCAAAGCTGGGTGCATGATAAAGAGGATGATCTTTCCCGAATAAGGAGGGCCAATTTTTTGCCTGGGTAAAAGAACCTCTTAAAACCGTATTTATCTCATAAATGTCATATTTAAAAGCTCCCTTTCCTTTCTTCCTAAGAAACAAATCAGTCCCAACCAAGGGGAACAAGGAAAGGAGACAGGCTGTATTTACTGAAAGCCGCAGAGGATGCTTGGTAAGTTCGGTTCTCGGTCCCGGTGTCCACTGGGAGGTGGAAGGTGCCTTCAGTGCCACAGGAAGACGAGTTCTGTGGCCAGGCCTGTTTCATCAGCAGAGTTGCTTAAGGGAAGACACAAGAATGGCATTAGGCAGAAATAAGTAGTGGCCACCACCAATCACAGACACAAAGCAGGGTCTTGTGCTGGACAGAAACACACAACCCAAGGAGCCTGTTCAGACACACAGGACAGCTTAGCCTTTCTGAAATGGGTAAGTGGGTTGGGAGGAGTGCTGATGTATGTTTCCAAATGATTTGAAATCAAGGAAATCTGAAGTTATACTAAGAGTCAGGATTTTCTACCTACTACTAAAATCACAAAGATGCCCATGAATACCACCTCCTACTACCTAACATTGTGGCCTAAAGCTCTGGTATATTCCTCAGCCACTTTCTCATTAACGTGTAGCAACTTGAGAGCCTTTGTGTGTTGATCAGATCAACTGAGCATTCTTTATTTTCTGAAATACCATCTGGAGGTATATTATAAGCTGCTTTCAAAGACAGGCCCACAAAAAAATTACGCATTACATGAACCTTGCTGGACTACCATCTCCTCTGAAGCAACTGAGCTGTGGCCATGGCAGCTTAAAAGGCACTGGACACTGTGCTGCACTAAACCTAGTTAGCCAGTGGGGCAATCCTTGCTAATAACTCCTTCTCCTGAGGCCAGACAGACATACTTCTTGCATACCCCTGAATATCTTCTGCTGAGGTGTTACTGGGTGCCCCACCTGGGATATCTCCTCATTAATTAGAGATGGTCCTTTGGGCCATTAAGAAAGCAAATATCAAATTTGGGGTAGGTATGAAATATAGATGAGGCCAGTTTAAGATATGCAGAGACTTCTCAGGCTGACTCAAAGCTCAGCTAGAGACATCTGAAGGATGATACTTCATATGTTTTGGAAGTGGGGTGTGACTCAAAAAACTTACCTTCACGGTATCCTGAGGGGAAAGAGAAAAGAAACAGAGTTCCAAAGGGGAACTTGCCTAACTTTTTAGATATTTTCCTTGTTATAATTTCAAACACTAAAGGGGAAACATTCTTGACTCAAATTTCTGTTTATGGTAAAAAGAATAACTTAGCAACATCTTTTCCACTCAAAGTCTTGGAGGGCCATGGATATGAGGTTTTATATAGCATATTAGCAGAAGGTGGGGCTGCATTGGCAATACTTAAAATATTTAACTAAGAGGCTAAGACAGGGTGTTATGAGAAGAAAGTATGCCTATACACTCTCTAATTCTACCAGGACAAGGATATTCTACATCCAAAGAGATCCTGTAACCCCTTTTGCCCATTCAGGTAACAGGTAATACCTCTGATTCCTTTGATCCCAGAAGTACTGGGGCCAGAGAAGGTCAGGGACTGTGCTGTTTTTGTTAAAGCAAGGCTAGAAGTACGACTATTGTAGGCTGACTCTGCGTTTGCATTAATGGCCCGCAATATATACAGCAGATGCTGAGAAATGAGAAGGAAATCATGGGCAGGAAAGTCACACTAAAAGGAGAATTCTGGTAAGAGAAATGGAGACCCAGCAGAACTCCATGTAGAGCCCAGGGCCTTTCCTGGACATCAAGACATGGCTCTGCAGACAATGAAGGAGGAGGAGAGTCCATTTTAAACAATCATTTTGCATTTCTTTTCTTTGGGGAGTGGGAAACAGGAAAGGGATAAAGAATCCGATTAGTGTTAACATATCTTTATCAAGATGTCTCCAAATTTAGTCTGCTATACATGTGGCTGGAAAGCAGTGGCCACTCCCAAAACAACTCTTAAAAAGTAAAACATATAGCTCTGAAAAGTCAGATAAAGCAAGCCCATGCCCTCAAACCCCTAGAGGAACGCCACCAGGGGGTAGGAGTCCCGAATTTGGTTGTAGGAATTTAGAGAATTAGGAGGTTCTATTATATTCCAATTTTTTCCTCCAAGTGGTATATACTTTACCATAATTTTCATAATAAGCCAAAAGTCTGACATTAGCCTGAAGGACTGTGTGACAATTAAAGTTAATAAGTCAAACTAACTTAACTTACGCTTCACAAAAGAGTAAATCACTCTTTTGTCCAAAGAGCGACTGAGGTCTACACTGCACTCAGCACTGAGGGGAGCGCCACGGTGGAAGGGAACACACGTGGATCACAGTCACCGCACACAAGGTACTTATGGTCTAGCTGGGGATGCAACACAGCCACACGCCAACCAAGGAGTGAACAAGACAGCATGATACACAATAAAATAATGTTCCAGGTTAACCAAGAAAGAAGCAAGTGCAACCGTGCCTTTGATTACTATGTCTTTTCCAACTGATGACGTGAACTATACTATATGTTTTTCGGAATAAAAATATTTTTCTGTATTTTCACCTGGTTTCATCATAAAGAAAACAAATTAGTGTTTTCTGTACTACTCTGTATATTTGAATCCTTGTAATTTAAATAACTAGACAAATGTGAAAACAAATCAAAAAACAAATATTAGCAGTCAACTTGACCTCCTTATTAGTTAGTTGTACCGTGTGATCCAACTCCTGGTACACAATTCTGAAGTCACCCATTCTGTTGGTGGGAGTGATTCAGAGCTCAGTTGTGGGATGAAGACAATTCCAACTGAAGCTTTTAGAGGAATGGTGATAGAGGAGGCTGCTCTGAACAGCATGCCTGCCCTTGGGTGCCTGAAAAGTACCACTTCCTAGATATGTTTTGTATTTTGAACTGAGTGGTAGTTAAATATAGGCATATACATATGTAAAAACATTACTAAGCTATACACTTAAGATTAGTGTACTTGGCCCGGTGCAGTGGCTCACGCCTGTAATACCAGCACTTTGGAGGCCAAGGTGGGCAGATCACGAGGTCAGGAGCTCGAGACCAGCCTGACCAACATGGTGAAACCCTGTCTCTACTAAAAAATACAAAAATTAGGCAAGTGTGGTGGCGTGCACCTGTAATCCCAGCTACTCAGGAGGCTGAGGCAGGAGAATCACTTGAACCCGGGAGATGGAGGTTGCAGTGAGCCAAGATTGCACCACTGCACTCCAGCCTGAGTGAAAGAGTGAGGCTCCATCTCAAAAAAAAAAAAAAGACATTAGTGTACTTTATATACTTTACTGTATGTGTGTTATACCTCAATGAAATGAGAGAGAGAGAACCCTTGGCAGTGAAGGGCCGTGGGCCCAGTCACAGCATGCTGCCCACATCCAAGTGCTGGGTTGTTCACTTCCCTGGATACGGGGCCCTCACGCCCTCTGACACTTGAACAATCTGTTAAGCACATATACAAGGAAGAGAGGCAGCAAGGGACCATCATCCTGAACAATGTACTGAGTCAGGAAATCTGAGCTGTAGCCTGGGCTCTGCCACTTATTAGCTGTGGGACCTTGGGCAAGTCACTTAACCTTTCTAAGTTTTAGATTTGTTGTCTTATAATACAGCAATAATCATCACTCCTTGATTGCTTCACAGTACTGATGTGAGGGTCAAAAATAAAGTGTCACCCAGTCTTATAGTTTCTAGTTCTGGTTTCTGTCCACTCTTCCATCTCCAAAGTTGTAGGCTACAGCTCTAACTGAAGCTCTCATCATCTCTCATCCTAACTACTGCAACTGCTTCCTCATATTAAATCTGCTCCCTCCAATTTTCAAGCTGCATTCATACCTAAGACTGAAACCTAATCACAAACCCCCCTTCTTGAAAACATTCCATGGTTTTCCACTACTATAGGCTAAAGTTTAAACTCCTGTGTAGCATTCAATGCCCCATCATGATCATCTTGTCCTGAAGCCCTTTCTAGACCCTCTCATTGTTCTCAATCTCCAGCCCACACTACAGCCACAGAAACTGCTTATAATTCCCAGAATATGCCAGGGAGCCTCACATCTCCATGTTTTGACCACACTGCTACTTCTTCTGGCATATCTCTCCCCAAACTCCATCTGGTAATATTGATTAATCCATCAATCATGAGCTGAAGACTCACATCTACTATAAAGTATTTCCTTCCCCCACCCCTTAACCATAGCCCTGTGATTTTTGGAAGAATCTCAATCCCTGTGATTCTTGGAAGCACCTGTACTTGATGGCATGTCTTCTCTCCACTAAACTCTGAGCTCCTTGAGAACGAGCCCCTTGTCTTACGAGTCTTTGTTATCTTCAAAGGGCCAGCTTAGGGCCTGGCACAGAATTTTGTAAAGTGAAGAGCTCCATCTGTATTCTTTATGCAGATCTATTTCAGATGCTATAACTGGAAGGGGAAGCATGAGAGCTTCTCTGACTTTTTATGGACCCTTCAGTCCAGGTTCACATATCCTGAGGCAAACAAAAAATGACTACAGGAGAAACAGGTCTGTGACTAACAAAATTGAAGTAATAAAATTATAAGAGGACAGGGTATTAGCATTTAAAGGGACTTCGGAGATCATGTGAAATTAAACATTTTATCTATGGCCTAGAGACATTAGTAAATTGCCCAAGATCACACAGCCCACAGCCGTGGCAAGGAGAAATTTCACAACTCATCTCCTGACAGATACGTAACACACAAATTCAATTTCCAGCATCCAAATAATTCAAGGTTAAAAGTTGAGAAAGGGTACAGAGATTTTATAAAAACATTTTCCTGAGCAGCCCAGGTGAGGGTGGTGAAAGTTGCAAGTCCTTCCCATGGTCCCTTCCTGTCTATGACAAAAAGGACCTAGTCAAGTTATACTGCTGGGACCCTCACAGGTGCCCAGAAGTTCCCGTGGTGCCTTGGGCCTGGAGTCCACACTGTCCAGAAAACCCAGTTCTGGTCCCTCACTTATTAGCCTCCTCGCCCCCCACCTCTTACCATCTTCTAGGAAAATGAGCCCAGAGCTCAAGTTCTGGGCTGATGGAACAGATTATATCTAAAGTCAACCAAGTCTTCAAACATGTCAGACTGCCAATGGAGATGGAAAATCTGATCCTGGGGCAGACTAGTTTTTTGGGTTCTAATAGGCATAATCCAGGTACTCCTTCACAGAGGCTGCCACAAAGCCAACTGAGGAGCCGCATGCAGGCCCTGGAATTTTTGTTCATTTGTTTGTTTGAATTTGGCAGCCAGGTTAGGGTGAGAGATGCTTTTTAGTGCCATGATCCTTTACTGCTGCCCTAGGGATGGTTCATGTGTGTCTCCAACCCATGATTTTTGCACCATCAGACATGTTCCTGCATGCTTTAGGAACTGCTGCTGAGCCACCTGGGGGGAGCCCAAGCCTAGGGGATGGGATTTGGGGAGGAAAGGAGAGGGGATCTACCATTGTTACGAGATAACACATTCAAAAGCTGTAATACAGATGAGGAAAAATAGCTTTCCTACCATAAGCTGAATGCAGGAACTGAAACTCTGTTGGATAGAAATGTTAGTTGAAATTACCACTAAGAATTTGTGCAAAGTTGTATACATTGCAGTTATATAAACAGACTTTGTTTTGCGATAGCAGTTCCCCCCCCAGCTTCACAAACCCAGTAAATACAGAAGGTGTGAAGCATCTTTACCCTAGAAAGGGTGACAGACTTGTCATCTGGAAAAGTTCATTCATTGGAGAGAGCCCCTCCCTGGATGCCATAGTGTCTTCTAGGCAGCTGATCCAAAGCTGCCTGGATGCGAACAAGCCCAAGTTCCTGCTTTTTGCTTGTCTGTTATAAGATTATATTTCAGTTCTCCCAAGAACTGCAGAGGAATTTCACATATGACAGAGACTTTGTGTTAGAGGAAGTGAAGATTCAGAGACAATATCACCATGGTTGACCTCTAAAGAGCTGTCTGTAAAACCCCTGAGAGACAGGACCAATGCAAAGGCACTCCATCCCTGAAGTCTCTGGGTCACTGTGGTGCTATAGAAGGAGCATGGGTTGTGGGGTCAGACAAGTTGGGTTTGAATCCCAGCTAACTGCTTTTTTATGGAGACAGGGTCTCACTCTGTGCCCAGGCTAGAAAGCAGTGGTGCAATGATAGCTCAATGCAGCCTCCAGCTCCCAGGCTCAAGTGATCCTTCTGTCTCAGCCTCCTGAGTGGCTGGAACTACAGGTGCATGCCACCAAGCCTGTCTATTTTTCTTTTATTTAATTTTTTTGTAGAGATAGGGTCTCATCATGTTGCTCAGGCTGGTCCTGACCTTTGGCCTCAAGTGATCCTCCTGCCTTGCCCTCCCAAATCTACTGCTTTTTAGCTGTATAACTTTGGGCAACTTATTTATCCTGTTTGAGCCAAGTTGAAGACAGGAAGCTCTAACTCACAAGACTAAGGTAAAAATGAAGGTTTGTAACATGACTTGCGCAGGGCTTGGAACAGGGCAGCTGTTCAGAAAGCACAAATTCTTTTTCCCTATCCTCCCCCAAGTTTGTTGTATGTAAAATGGGTATAATGTATTTGTACTTTATAGGGATGCTATGAAATCAAATGAGATAATATGGGAAAATGTTGTGTCAACAGATTCCATGAGGAAGTTATTTTATTTTATTTTATTTTATTTGTGAGACGGAGTTTCGCTCTTGTTACCCAGGCTGGAGTGCAATGGCACGATCTCGACTCACTGCAACCTCCGCCTCCTGGGTTCAGGCAATTCTCCTGCCTCAGCCTCCTGAGTAGCTGGGATTACAGGCACGCGCCACCATGGCCAGCTAATTTTTTTTTTTGTATTTTTAGTAGAGACGGGGTTTCACCATTTTGACCAGGATGGTCTCGATCTCTTGACCTTGTGATCCACCCGCCTTGGCCTCCCAAAGTGCTGGGATTACAGGCTTGAGCCGCTGCACCCGGCCCTGAGGTTATTTTATTTTTATCTGTATTAGTTAACCTGTTTGTCCTTCCTATCATTTATTTTCAAGCCAGATTACCATTAATAGATCCCTAGATTCTGAAAACCAAATCTTGATTGGCTCCTACCTCTTGCGGGGCCAAAGAGTTCCTAAATAAGATCCCTGACATCATTAAGAGCTTGGGAAAAAGCTCCAAATGCCCACATTGCTTTCAGAACCAATGAAAAGAGTGAAATGCTTCCCTGCATCCTTGACAGATGACATCTTAGGTACTCAGAGCTGCTAAAAATAGCTCTCTCTCTCTCTCTCTCAAGCAACTTCTTGTTCTCCTTAAAGCAGCTGAAAAAAATTTAAACCTAAGAGGCTGGTTCCTTCTGAAGGCACCTCCTCTGCTTCACAAATGGCTGGCTCTGGCAGGAAGGTGAGAGTAACCTAAATGGTCCTTTCTGACCTTGAGCTAGCTTCTCCATGGTAGGAAGCCCCCCACAGTCAGGAAATCTGCACTGTGAATCCAGAGGCCAGCATAGCAAAGTTAATGCTACAACCTAAGTCTTTCAACTCCGAGTTTGGGGTCTTCAAATACAATAACACTACCCTCTCTTGTGGATTTTGTGGGTTTTTGAGAAAATAGTCTGGGTGACATTAGTAGAAATATGTTGACTTTTAAAAGCAAAATTAGGGAAAATCAAGTTAGATGAGGGCTTATTTTTTGTTTGTATTTTATGTATTTGTACCTTATATGTTGACTTTTAACAAAACTGGGGAAAATCAAGTTAGATGAGGGCTTATTTTTGTTTTAAAATTAAAATTGAATATATATGCCAAGATGTACTGAATTTCTTTTTTCCCCCTACAGTTTCAGCCTCATCCTATCTGCACTCCTTTCCCTCTTTAGCCAGTGTAATGCCTTAATTTCTCTCTGGCCCATTGATGCAACTACAGTGTAGCAGTTAAGAGCTTATGCAGACACAGTGTTAGGGTGCTAGGCCTTGGATCTTTGGGCTAGTTATGTAACTTCTCCAAGTTTTAGTTTTCCCATTTGGAAAATGGGGATAATAAGAGTACCAACTTCAAAGGTTTATTGCAGTATAAAACAAGCTAATATCCATAAATAACTTCAAATAGTTTTGAACACATAGAAAACATTCAATAAACAGTAGCTATTTATTCCATATCTTTCCACTTATTGGTAAACGGATCCTAAAACAATCCCACAATCCATCACCAGAAGTGCTGAACATTATGAGAAAATAGCCCAGTGCTGGGGATGAGAGCCTGGACAAATGCACAACCTTCACCATTCAGGTGGGTCCCAAATGTCACCCTGCTCTGTTATCTTTTGGTAGTTTCCAGTCCTACTCCTTCCTATGAGGCTCTCACACCCTGACCTTCCTGGTTAAGAACCCTCCCTTTACCCCTGCTCCCTTCTGTCGCAGCAAATCAAGGTCATTAGATGAGAACTCTCCACTTTCCATTGGGCAATTTATTTAAGCACATCTACCTCTGACCTTTCCTTTAGTCTGAGAGGAAGAGTTGCCCTCCTGCATGAGGCACCCTGTCTCCACCTGCCACTCAACTTCCCAAACCAAAGAAGAGAACTGAGCTCCAGATTTCCAACCCCTACACCAGCCTCTGTGGCTGCCTGGCTCTGGCACCACTTCTCCTGCATCTCTGACTTATCCTCTCCACTTGCCCCTTCCTATCAGTACTTAGCCTTGCTCATATCTGAGAAAACCCTCCTTCAACCCTACATTCACTTCTAGTCAGTGTCCTTTTGTTTTTCCTTTCCTGGTAGCTAGGCTTCAGGTAAGAATAGGCTATATAAGCTAAATCTACTTCTTCACTCCTGATTCACTGCACTCTGGTTTCTAGCCTCACCATTTCACTAACAATGCTTCCAGTGAGGTCACTGGTGGCCTCCAGACTATAAAGACAAGGAATCTTCTTCACTCCTGATCTTACTTGACCTTCTGCAACAACTCATTTTGTTTTAGACTGGAAACAGTTTACAAAGTCAATTCACAGATCTGATGGCACTTAAATTTAAATCATTTATATATCATGATATACATGATAACTGAAGCCTTTGTAGTTAAGATAAAAATTATCAAATTTGATTATCAGAGAATTTCTGTAGCTTTTATTGTTTTTGCCTTCTATTATAGATCTTGTGGAAAATATTATATATCATATTGACTAAAAGTAAATATAAAACCAATGCTGAGATACTGTTGTAGAATTTTAGCCCATGCATCACTGCTCCCTTCATAAGCGCTCCAAAGGCAGTGACTACAGCTTCCTCAAGTTTGAATCATCTACATGGTCTTCCAAAGTATCTTAAGCATAACAGAGTGGGTCAAAATGTCTGTGGAACATCTATGTAAACACCTTAGGGGATACCATCACCTATTTACCTAAAATAGTTCTTGTTTGCCAAAAAAAAAGAGGGGCTAACTGATAACTTCATAGTGTGTATGCATAATTATGATATGATTCCTACTTAGAGATGGGGGAAATGAGATTCAGATAGATCAGGTGACTTTTAGGTTGTTAATCTAGGAAATGACAGTGAGGACTGAAATCTACGTCTTCAGACAACCTGTATTCTTTTCTCCTTTAAGTGTGCCCCAAGAAAGATAATGACAGTAGAATAAGTACACATTGGGAGAGAAAGGCATAGGACAAGAGTCAGGAGATCTGCCAAAGATTCTAGTCCATATGCCGCTACTGAGTCACTGGGTATGTTGGGACAAAACACTGTTTTTTGGTTCTCCTTTGTCAAGAGAAGAACTTGACTGGGGGATCCCTAAGGTCTTTTGAAGCTTTCTAATTCTATAATGATAACTGCTAAACGAGAAAATGTGGGGTATGGCAGGGTGCTGTGGCTCACACCTGTAATCCCAGCACTTTGGGAGGCTGAAGCAAATGGATCACAAGGTCAGGAGTTCAAGACCAGACTGGCCAACACGGTGAAACCCTGTCTCTACTAAAAAATACAAAAATTAGCTAGACATGGTGACTTGTGCCTGTAATCTCAGCTACTTGGGAGGCTGAGATAGGAGAATTGCTTGTAACAGGACCTGGGAGGCGGAGGTTGCAGTGAGCCAAGAACGCGCCACTGCACTCCAGCCTGGGCTACAGAGCGAGACTCCATCTCAAAAAAAAAAAAAAAAGAAAATGCGGGGTATTATCAAGACATTCAAGGCCTCTCCAAATCTGGCCCTTGCACATCTATAGTTCAGATTCATCTAGCCACTTATAGTTTATGCTGCGACCATTCCCCTACTTCTGTGTTCTTCACAGTGTCCTGTTCACACATCTCTAAGCCTCTCCCCATGCTTTACTCTACCTGGAATGCCCACTCTCCTTTGTGTGCTTAAAGAATAGCTTCTACGTCTCCTTCAAGTCTCTATTACTCACCCTCTGAAGCCTCCCCTACACTTATTTTTTTTTTTTTGAGATGGAGTTTCACTCTTGTTGCCCAGGCTGGAATGCGATGCAGCAATCTCGGCTCACCACAACCTCTGCCTCCCAGGATTAAGCTACTCTCCTGCCTCAGCCTCCTGAGTAGCTGGGATTACAGGCATGTGCCACCATGTCTGGCTAATTTGTTTTGTATTTTTAGTAGAGATGGGGCTTTTCCATGTTGGTCAGACTGGTCTCAAACTCCCGACCTCAGGTGATCCACCTGCCTCGGCCTTCCAAAGTACGGGGATTACAAGCATGAGCCACAGCACCCAGCCAAGCCTCCCCTACACTTTCTCCCCAGGCAAACTGTTGTTCCCTCCTCCTCCCCTTATATGTATTCCTTTTTCAATACTTAGCACATTAACACTGCAATGAGTTTACATGCCAGGCTTCCAAATGTGACTGTAAGCTACTTCAGACAGGCAAAGATGGCATCTTTCAATTTTTGTATCCCAGTATTGAAAACATTCAACAAATACTTGTTGAGTAAATGGAACTTACATAAAACCATCCACAACCCTGAGGCAGGTAGTCACATTGGATCTCAGAGAGGTGAGGTGACTTGGCCAAGGTCTTACAACTAGTGAGTCAGGTAATCAGGATTCAAACCCAGGACTTTCTAACCACAGAACCCATACTCTTTCTCCTGCTGTTGAGTATTAGAGCACCAGCTGAGCATGAGGGTTAAGATCAGAACTAAGACCTCTGCAATGCTCCAAGCCCAAAATAGAATAAACTTTTTCAACATTTTCAAACCCATTTCAACCTCAATCCAAGGATTATTGGGCCTTTATTATTTCTGAAAACCCAGCAGCTTATCTCAGCTTGAAAACCAGCTCTTTACCTTCTGGTGGCAAGAGTGTGTGTGTGTGTGTCAAGAGCATGTGTTTGTGTCAAGAGCGTGTGTCTGTGTCCCAAGGAGAGTAAGAGAGTGTGTGTCAAGAGTGTGTGTGTCCCAAGAAGAGAGAATGTGTGTGTGTCAAGAGTGTGTGTCCCAAGGAGAGTGAGAGAGAGAGAGAGAGAGAGAGAGAGAGTGTGTGTGTGTCAAGAGTGTGTGTGTGTGTGTCAAGAGTGTGTGTCCCAAGGAGAGTGAGAGAGAGAGAGAGAGTGTGTGTGTGTGTGTGTGTGTCAAGAGTGTGTGTCCCAAGGAGAGTGGAGAGAGAGAGAGAGAGAGAGAGAGTGTGTGTGTGTGTGTGTGTGTTTCCCCAGCCATCTGTCCCAATGGCAGCCGCAGGGAAAACTGGGCAATGAATGAATTCAGACATTGCTTAGGGAGCAGAAAATGTTCTATGAGGAGGATGCAGGTCTCAGACATTCCAGCATAGGATCGATGAGCCAACCTTAAGTCCCAGAGAGAATGGAGAAGATTCTATTCCTGCCCCCACCCTGAGGCTGATCTGTCCCAGTTCCCAGAGGGGGGACTCCCAGAAAAATCAAGCCTGGACAGGCTGGGCCTGGAGCAATTAAGAACAGGAAAAAGCCAGCAGGTGGTTTTGTTTTTCCAAATAGAGTCCCCCTTTCCCATTCACCACTGCTGTCCCTGTTTTCTCCTTACCTGGAGCATAACTGGGACTATTGGTGGGGTAGAGGCTGGGATTGTAGGCAGGGGCCGCTGCTGGATAGGCTGTGGGGTAACCTACAGAGAGATAAGAAAGCTTATCAGTTAGGCAAAAAAAAAAAAAGAAAAAAAGCAGATTTTTGAAAAAATAGAATCCAAGTCCTAGGCTTGGCCTTCAGACTCTCCATGGGCTATTTCAGATAGTATATGTGACCAGCTTTCAGCCTCTGAAGAAAAAAGTTACCAAAACCAAAATTTTAATATGTGCAGACTTTCTGGTCTATTTTTTAAAACTGATACAAGAAATATGTCCACATGCTCACTATAAAAAAAAATGGAAGCAACATTGAAATTTACACTTTTTATGTTCAAGTTTACTTTCACATTCCTGCCACAACACCACTCTCCTCCCCAGAGGTAACATCATTAACAGTTTGACATCTCTCTTTCCAGGTAGGTGACTTTCTATAATTTTTATACACATATATTCAGTGCTGTGCTGGTAAATATATAACAACTGGCTCGAAGGGGTTGGAAATGGGAGCTGCTTTGCAGCATTTGACAACTGAGATGGCATAAATGTTTCCACCATGACCAATCTGATGCTACCAACTTCACAGAATGAATAGTTTGGAAGAGGTGCCCACAATCAGCTCTTAAGAGCTTACACAAACCAGATCCAGCTCACCACAGTATATTATATACAGTTTGGGGGATTTTTTGAAACTTTTTTATAATGGTAAAATATGTATAAGATTTGCAATTTTAACTATTTTTAAATGTATAATTCAGTGACATTAATGACATTTACAATGTTATACAATTATCACCATTACTTATTTCCAAGAAATTTTCATCACCCCAAACAGAAACTCTGTAACCATGAACAGTAACTCCTCATCCCCCAACATCCACGATGGTAACCTCTAATCTACTTTCTGTCTCTCTGAATTTGCCTGTTTTAGGTATTTTATATAAGTGGAGTCATACACTATTTGTTCTTTTGTGTCTGGCTTCTTTCACTTAATGTGTTTAAGGTTTATCCATGTTGTAGCATGTACCAAAACTTTCTTCTTCCTTATGGCTGAATAATATTCTACTGTGTGTATATGCCACATTTTCTTTATCCAGTTATCTGTTGAGGGACGCCTAGGTTGTTTCCACCTTTTGGCTACTGTGAATAATGGTATAATAAACAATGACATGTAAGTACCTGTTTTCAAAAATCTTTGAGCTATACACCAGTAGTAGAATTGTTGGGTCATACAGTAACTCTATGTTGAGCTTTTTAAGGAACCACCAAACTGTTTTTCACAATGTCTGTAATTTTTTTTTTTTTTTTTTGAGATGGAGTCTTGCTCTGTTGCCCAGGCTGGAGTACAGTGGTGCGATCTCAGCTCAATGTAACCTCTGCCTCCTGGGTTTAAGCAATTCTCCACCTCAGCCTCCCGAGTAGCTGGGATTACAGATGCACGCCACCACACCTGGCTAATTGTTGTATTTTTGGTAGAGACAGAGTTTCACCATGTTGGTCAGGCTGGTCTTGCACTCCTGACCTCAAGTGATCCACCCCCCTTGGCCTCCCAAAGTACTGGGATTACAGGCATGAGCCACTGTGCCCAGCTAATGTCTGCACTATTTTACATTCCCACCAGCAATGCATGAGAGTTCAAATTTCTCTACATCCTCAACAATGCTTGTTATTTTCTTTTATTATTACTATTATTATAGCCATCCTATATAGTAAGTGTGAAGTGGGATCTCAGTGTGGTCTTGATTTGCATTTCTTTAATGACTAATGATGTTGACCATCTTTTCATGTACTTATTGGCTATCTGTATATCCTCTCTGGAGAAATGTCTATCCAAATCATTTTCCCATTTAAAAATACAATTGTTTATTTTTTAGAGACAGGGTCTTGTTCTATTACCCAGGATGAAGTGTAATGGCAAGATCATAGCTCACTGTAACTCTGAACTCCTGGGCTCAAGTGATCCTCCTGCTTCAGCTTCCTGAATAGCTTGGGTCTACAAGTGTGTACCACTATACCCCGTTTTTTTTTGTTTGTTTGTTTTTTTAGTTGTGTGTTTTGTTTTGTTTTTGTAAAGACAGGGTCTCATCATGTTGCCCAGGCTGGTCTCAAACTCCTGGCTTAAGTGATATTCCTGCCCTGGCCTCCCAAAGTACTGGGATTACACAGGGCATTTTCCCATTTTTTTCACTGGGTGGTTTGTCTTTTTGCTGTTGCATTGTAGAAGTTGCCTATTCTGAATATTAAACCATTATCACATATATTACTTACAGATACTTTCTCCCATTTTATGGGTTATCTTTTTATTTTTTTGATAATGCCTTGATGCAAAAAAAATTCAATAAGTCCAGTTTATTTTTTCTTTTGTTGATTATGCTTTTGGTGTCATATCTAAGAATACACTGCCAATCAAATGTCATGAAGATTTACTTTTATGTTTTCTTCTAACAGTTTTATGGTTTTAGCTTTTATATTGAGATCACTGACACATTTTGAGTTAATTTTTATATATGACATAAGGTAGGGGTATACATGGTTTTACATTTTACTTTTTCACTTTAACATTATAAACATTTCCTCATGTAATTACATATTCTTCGAAAGGCTTATTTTAATATCTTTATGATATTCCACTTAACCATTAAATAAATTTCATTTTTATAATAGCTAACAAACTAAAATAAAACAGACTAACAGACTAAATTAATCTCTATTTCTTTAGGAATGAATTCTAGAAGTGGAAATCTCTAGGTCAAAGGATGGGCCTATTTTTCTTTTTATTAAATTGGAGTCTTGCTCTGTTGCCAGGCTAGAGTACAGTGGCACGACCTTGGCTCACTGCAACCTCCACCTCCTGAGTTCAAGCGATTCTCCTGCCTCAGCCTCCCGAGTAGTTGGGACTACAGGAGCATGCCACCATACCCAGCTAATTTTTGTATTTTTAGTAGAGACAGGTTTCACCATGTTGAATAGGATGGTCTCTATCTCTTGACTTCGTGATCCACCTGCCTTGGCCTCCCAAAGTCCTGGGGTTACAGGCGTGAGCCACTGCACCTGGCCGGGTACATTTTAAATTTCATCAATTGAACAAACAATTTGAGTATCTACTTGGTGCCAGACACGGATTTAGGGACTTTTGTCAGTGAACAAAATGAAGATCCTTGGCCTTGTGGAGTTTATATTCTATGAGGGTGGGAGAAGGTACCCTTGGATAAATACTAGTCTTCAGTGCTATGGAAAAGAGAAAAAGGCCAAAGTAAAGGGCATCAGAAATGCCAAAGTGTTGAGGGTAAGGGCATTGCAATATTATAAAGGATCAGAGTAAGACACATTAAGAAGGTATTATTTTTGCAAAGACTTGAAGGAAATGATAGTGTTCATCAAGCAGATGGCTGAAGGAAGAGCATTTCAAACAAAACAGTCAGTGCAAAGGCCCTAAGTTGACATCATATAAGACAATGTCGGAGGAATAGCAAAGAGGCCAGTGTGGCTGGAATGGAACAAATGAGGGGGCAATAGTAGTAGAGGAAGTCAGGACTGGCCAGTTCATATAGGGCTTTACAGGCCACTGTGAGGACTTAGACTTTTATTCTGAGTGAAATGAGGAGACCTCACAGGGTTTTCAGCAGAAGAATAACATGCTATGACTTATGTTTGAAAAGGGTCACTCTGACTGATGTGTTGAAAACAGACTATAAGGGGATAGAGAAGCAAAGCAACCTGCTGAGAGGCTACTGCAAGCTCCAACAATAGATGTTGGGACTAAGACCAGGGAAATAGTGGAGGTGAAGAAAAGTGACATGCTAAGAGCCTTCACATACTGTGCCATACTATTTTCTAGAAAGACCATCAATTTGTACTTGTTCTAGCAGTGTGTAAGTGCCTGTCTCACTGCTCCCTGCAGTTGTTAAATGCTCATTGGTATTTTGACTGACAAGGAAAAGCTGGTTTTAAAAGTCAAAGATTAAATCCCTAAATCCCTAAAAGCTTCTTTGGGATTTGTAAATATTGAAGCTTTAATAATGTATCTTTGTTAATATGCCTTTCCCTAAATCCTTTCCAATTCCAAAGAAAATTCATCTCTTTACCCCCTAATCATTTTCTGATTTTAGAACTGAGGTAGCTAACTTCTCACTTAATTAGCAATCTGGAGGTGTGCTACTTCTCAAGTAAAAAGTCAGGGGTCTAATCTGGGAAGCCAAGTAATCCAGTTGCATGGCCAAAATCTGTATTCAGCTTCACGTGAGAAATTGTGCAGTCACAGGTAATCACTCCTCTTGTTCTGTCATTTCAGATGCCTTTCACTTTAGAGGCAATTATAGGATCTTCCTTCAATGTTTCCAAGTGGAATTATTTTTAATTCACTTGAATTTGGCAGACATTATATAATGACAGCATTACAGGGAGCTTTATATAGTCTTCCCTCACTCCCTTTCCTTCCTTTCTTACTTACTTTTCTTCCCTTCTTACCTTACTTATTTATTTATTAATTACAGGGTCTTGTTCTGTCACCCAGGCTGGAGTGTAGTGGCACAATCATAGCTCACTTCAATCTTTTTTTTTTGAGACAGAGTCTTGCTCTGTCGGCCAGATTGGAGTGCAGTGGCACAATCTCGGCTCACTGCAACCTCTGTCTCCCCGGCCCAAACAATTCTCCTGCCTCAGCCTCCCAAGTAGCTAGGATTACAGGCATGTGCCAGCACCACCAGCTAATTTTGTATTTGTAGTAGAGATGGGGTTTCACCATGTTGGCCAGGCTGGTCTTGAACTCCTGACCTCAGGTAATCCACCTGCCTCAGCCTCCCGAAGTGCTGGAATTAGAGGCATGAGGAGTCCAGGAGTTTTATAACTGTTAATACATTAAGTCTGGCCAGGCATGTTGGCTCATACTTGGAATCCCAGCACCCTGGGAGGCTGAAGTAGGAGGATCACTTGAGCTCAGGATCTCTACAGTCTTGTGACACATGACTGTACACTGAGTTGAAAAGATATACCATGTATATTTCACTCTTTTGCTCATTAACAAAGGTATTTCCACACTTGCTTT